ATATTTTTACATTATTTGGTCAGAGGACAATTTATTGTGACGTTAGAACTTTCACCTCATCTCATCCCCATCCCCTGACCTACCAAACATACCTCGAAAGCCAACACTACCAGACTGACTCAACAGTCAGACAGTGACATGTAGGCCTATATAGTGTCTCTAAACCGTGCATGCATACACAGGGACCTATGCCTGCATCGTTAATCGCCGGCTGAACAATTAATGTAAATAAATAGTCAAATTTTTAAAGTGTTTCAAATGATGTAGGTGAGTAAGTGGTCTAACTAAACTTTATTCCAGTTGATGCTTTACATGTGGTGTAATGTACACCGGGCTTATGTAAACAAAGGTACTTCAAGAACCTGGCATTCATAAGGGTGAAACAATTTTTTCAGGAGAATTTAACAAACTGAAATAAAAAAAATTTTACGTAAAATATTTTATCAATTTTTTTTATATTGCTAATGCAAGTAGAAAAATTACTATACATATTTGTAAAATCAACTGCGACACATATAGATGATAGATATATATATATATATATATATATATATATATATATATATATATAGGGACTGCGACTGAGGCTACTTACAGTCACTCAGTTACAAAAGTAGGTCACAATTACAGTAGCGCCGGTCGCTTGTCATTTGACCGGCGCTACATTATGATGAAAAATTATTATTTTCGAGATAACCCAAAATGCCAGGATCACCATATTGGTTTCTAGCAAACCTATCTGCCTGCATATATTAGGGTCCCTCCAGAGGGGAGGTAATTGCCCGGTGTTTGAACCGGCACTTCAGGTAGGCCACAGTTATGGACGACTGGACAAGCCAGCCTCTTTGGGTGGTACCCAAAGTGAGAGTACCCAGTGACATTTCCTCCATTCAGGGTGGAGGGGTGTTCAGCTCTGCGAGACTTCGGTCTCCCACCTGCCTGTAGCTGTGGTTGTGACTGGAGTTCTTCGGGCTCGTCCTGCCTGCTGTGTACGACTGACATTTTGTGAGGCATATCCTCGGCTCTGGAAGTAGCCTCGTCCTGGGAGGTGAAAAATTGGGTAAGTTAGCCCCCAAAGGGGAGGTAACTGCTCGGTGTCGGAATCGGCATTTCAAGTAGTTCATAGTTATGGACGACTGGACAAGCCAGCCTCTTTGGGTTTACCCAAAGTGAGAGTACCCAGTGACATTTCCCCATCCAGGTTATGGGGGGTGTTCAGCTCTGCAAGAGGTGGAAGTGCGCCACCAATCTATCATCTGCCTGTAGCTATGATCCTTTGGGCTCCGGCCCGCTTGTTGATGTGCGACCGGCATTCAGTGTGGCAAATCCTCGACTTTGGAAGTAGCCTTCCTGGAGGTGAAATCGGGCAAGTACCCGTCAGTTCACGGGGACACTCTAGGAGAACGTAACTTTCCGCAGTGTGAGGGCAACGGCTGGGCGCACTCCATCAGCCAATCCCTGTCTCTGAGACCGGAAGGTATGGTTATCTAGAGTGTGGGGGGTTCTCCCTGGAACCTCAATTGAGCAAATGGTGTCGCCACCTTTGGTGGATAGGTTCATCCGGGTGGGACCCACTTCTATTCCTGCCTCCTTTTGGGAAACCCTGACAGCCTGGCAGTGATGTTGGGCTTGATGGGCAAATGAAGTAGATCGGGTGCTGGGTTCAAGCCCGCTGGGGGTGTTCAGGGATCTATCGCCTTGGTCACCTCTGGTTTCCCAGCAACTGGGTAAGGCCTCGATCGGGTAGTGGTGTAAATGGGTGGTTGGGGTTCCCCCCATCAGCTTGCTGGTGGTCCCCTTCTTCCTGGCTTTGATGGCGGGTTTTGCCTGTCAGGGATTGGATAGGTCCCGAGTGTTGTTTGCACTAAATGCGTCAGGGCATTTCACTATGGTCCTTCTGGGTTCCGTACCTGGGGGAACCCAGGTGAAGTGACGCTTAAACAAGTAGCCGGTATCCCTGGTTAGGATTGAGGGGCAACCCTCTTTCCGAAGGATTGCTTCGGCAGCCGGTGAGCTTGATGACCTTAAGTCATCCTCCCATGGTGACCAAAGGTCGGTGCGAAAGCTTCGGCCTACATCATGGGGCCCGGGTATGTTTAATTATAGGTACCGGGTTAGCAGTCAGGGAGTTTCTTGCTCTCATGACAAAACGAAATGGAATGAATGGAATGCATATATTAGGGCCTATTGAATCAATATCAAAATTTGACTGTTAATCATTGTGGCTTAACTTTTCATGGCCGATGATACAGTAAATACCCCCGCCACAGCAAACCTTCAGACTAAGCAAATTTCAACTTGTCTGATTACATTTTTACTAAAATATTTCCATAAATAAGACATATTTACTCCCAATTTAAATAACATTAGATTTAACAAATCCTTAGGTTTGCTGCTACAGGGGAAGGTAAAAAGTGTTTTTGACTAAACGTCAATAGTATAGGATGAAATAAATAAATTTGCCAAATTTTATCGACATATATCCATAAACTACAACAGTTTTCATTTTCTCCATAAGAATAACATGGGAACTTTAAATTACACTTTTTTAAAAATTTCTCTGTGACGTTAGGCATACAACAGCGCTTCAATATACTAAATTATTTCTTAATGGTTTAGAAAGAAATTGCAAACCCCCGTTCCCATGGTCTGGTCATGTTGGTTCGCGATCTCGTTCGAATAAATATAGGTTTACACGTTTATACCAAATTTCATCTGAAAATAAATCGGTCCCGGGTCCAGGTCTTACCATGAGACCTACGGTACGGTAATAGCTTATTCCCTATATGGGGAATTCGCTAAAAAGCATAAAACACCTGTTTAATAAAGTATTTTATAAATTATTACTTACCGGTAAATAGCTAAATTTCGAGCACACGCACAATGGACCTCACTGACATTCCACTCACAACTGACAAGGAACTGGCGCTCGACCTCCCATATAACGGCTAGAAACTTAAATTACGAACCTTGACTGGCGCTACTTAGGCTAATAGTGGAGACCACGTTTTAAAGCGTTTTAGGCCTAGATATAAGTTTACAGATTATCTATGGTGCAATAGGCTACTCATATTTATACATTAGGATACCTATGTTGTTTTGATAAATAATAAATAAACTAAAGATTACTGCTTTAAAACATAAAATTAGGACAACAGACTTTTGAGTGGATCAAGATCGTACTATTAATGTGCTACCCGTGCTACAATTCCGGAAGTTAAGTTTATTATATACATAGGCCTATATGAACAATTATTTAACTCAAAATAAGATAAGTTACCCAGTTACAATGAACAGTGTATTCTACCTTGTTTTAAATTAAAAACAAATAGTTGAGACTATTTTAATTAATTTCTCGAACAAGGGCAGTGCGAGTGTCCTTGAAAAATGTTTTCACCCAAAAGGTAAACATACATATTTAATGCCCCAAACTAAGTTATCCTCCCACCCTCCCCTCTCATTATTCCTTCACCTTGCTTCTACAGAAAAAAATATCAACATAATCTTTGCCTTTAAGACGAAACCTGCAATTACCAGAAATCTAAGCTGGATGGAAGTAGCCATAACCATAAGGAATGCACTCACTCATCTGCCATTAGATGGAATGAAAGAAAAACCTCATTTTTCCAACCATCCGAGCATTTTTATATTTATCATTTTATTGTGCCACTAGGCTATTTCAATTGTACATTAAGCAGTCTGGAGGTAACATAAATATTAATAAGTTGGTTCATCAAAACTTTACATTCCTAATCTAACCTAATTTAAAAACACTTAATAACACGAAATGACACTAACATCTTCACATAGCTGCAGATGATTCATTCAGAATTAATCGATTCCATTGTGCATGGAGTCACGTGTAGTGGGTTTGTTTGTTCTGAATCACATTTTAAGTTATAATCTTTTGTTTTATTAAACTTGACCTTGTGTTTAAGTACAGTAGAGTCCCGCAAATTTGGCGTAATGTGGACTGGAAGGGTGCTGGGTTTGTGAAATGCCGGGTTATCGAGAACTAGGCCGTTAAAAATAAGAAAAATACAATTTTTAAGCTTTTTAACCGCTTTTTTATTTATATTTATAATACAATTCAGTATTAAGTCATCAGATATAGTACAACAAATCCCTGGTATGTGTTGCGAATGATTTGACTTAAGCTGGCTTGAGTCCATGTTTAACTTAGACTCAAAAAATCACTAATTTTTCTGAGCCAGGTGATGGTCGAATTATCCAGAAAGCCGGGTTATTGAGTACCGAGTTTGCGGGACGCTACTGTATAACACTTTTGTTGTGCCACAAGTTGAATGCACCAAAAAGAGTTATCAAGCATATTTAAAAGAGCCCACCCAAAAACCTACAGTCACCAGGATTACTTCAAGTGACAAGGATCTGTTGTTGGTAGCAGCTGCTTTTGTCGGGATTTTATATGCTAGTTAACAAAAGAGCAAAGCGTCGCTTTGGGTACATCCTTCACTGCAAGCTAGGATTAAGTACAGTAGCAGTGGAATGTTCAAAGATTACGGTATTTAGGATGAGATGACGAAGATTTGTTTACCCGGGAATTGAGAACTGATGGTAGCTCCAAAAGCTTTGTAAGAATGGCAAGTTCAGACTGTTGTCTAGGCTACTGAAGGAGCAAACTAACTGATCCAACTTAGAACCCAGATCTAGCGGAACCGATGTTTGATAAACAAGTCCGACCTTTCCGACATAGATCAGGAACGCTGCAACTTGTTTTAAAACACAATCTTTGGTTGTACAACACACTTAATGTACAACTTGTTTAATATTTTTCCTTGCATTTATAAACATGTATCAACTAATTAATTACCTACTATAATTTGGTTGTACAACACAACTTTACAAAACAAGTTGTATAGTGTAAACGCAGCTTAAGGATTCACTTAGGCCTATTTAACTATAAATAAAACTCAGCCACAACATAGGCCTATGTATTGGGGCACAAAACTATAACACCAAAACAAACAAATTTGACCTACCTTTGTTTAAGGAGGGTTTTACAGCTGAATTAGATGACATCTGTAAGAAGATATATTTACATGAGGCTATTTGTACACATTTTCAGTTTTATTTGTTTCACTCACAGTATTTTAACTGTTTGCTGCCCATAAGATAAAAGCTAGGATGACCACTTTCTATTGTGGTCGGTAAAAAATAAGTGACCAAGGGGTACCGAAATCCATGTTGTTTAAACATTGCCAACGGTAATCCATTTCATATGAAGACTAAAAATATTTCAAAATGTTTAATCCTCAGATTTGTAGCTGATGCTTGCTATCGGATTTAAGTCTTCGGAGGGATTAAAAATAGTAATAGGGGACAAAATAGCCCTAGCTTACTTTTGAGGTCATTATTTCACTTCAACTGCCATAACGTTCATTTTAACACTCACTGTAACAGTAAAAAGAATATGTAAAACTAAATAAAACACTCTTTACATTAACTACAATTTTACATTACGCGTGAATTAACGCTGACGAATAAACAAATTTCACTTCAGCTTGACATCCTGATTGTTGTAAATATGGACATCGAAATTTAGCCTAGTAATAATACACTACCTACTTCAGAAACTGAAACAGAATTGAGAGAGAAGCAACGCCACGTTGATCAGTAAAAATGTCCGTCTTAATTTCGTTGAGTATGTCTACAATATATATTTATTTCATGTAACATTTTTCTAGTAACCTACAATTTTATTTGAACTCTACAATTTGTTCATAGTGAAACTTTTAATAAATCATAAAAATCAATATTATTAGAAGAATGCGTTATATGTAAAACACCTTCAAAAAAGGGCATCCAAATTACAATAACTTAATACGATTTTCTTACATACACGATTTGTTTAAAAAACTAAATATCAATTTCAGTTTGACAGTACCTAATTGTTATTGTTTAAGCCCCCCACACACTACCAGACCAGACCTCCAGACCAGACCGTCTGGCTGCAACCAGACCGTCTTGGACTGCTCTACACACTCCCAGACCAGACATTCCAACATTCGTAATTGAGACACCATGGTGAGAACTCCAACAAATAGATAAAGACTGTTACGACGGTCTGCCGTCTGACAGACAGCGCTACACACTCACAGACCAGACAAAAATAGTGGTGGGGGAACCTCAGACCGTCTGTGGTCTGAGGGTTCAACCAACAGACACGCATACAGTCTGGTCCGAGAAAACTGGTCTGCAGACAGCCCCACACACGTGCCAGACGCCAGACCAGACGGTCTGGTCTGGTAGTGTGTGGGGGGCTTAAATTAGTAGGTTTTCGTCTGTCTTTTGACAGAATATTTTGACATTGTTCTACTAACCAGCTGTTTACTTCAGAGTCGCTCCAGCAAAATATACACAGATTGAGATGCCCCTGTCATTCCTGTCAAAACGTATTCTGTTTCAACTGCAGACGAAAGTTACGAATCAAAAACGAAAACAAGATCAATATTTTATAATAATACGGCGCATAAGGCCTAGGGCCTACCCATCTTAAGTTACCTACAACTTCTAACAAAATCTGACGGAGCTTAAGTCTGTGTCAGAAATGTAAAATCTAGGGAAAAACTATAAAACAGTATAGAAACATCGGTCACATATACAGGGTTAGGCAAAAGTGCTGGAACCCCCCATTTAACTTTTTAACGCGTTGCAGTAGGAAAACCAAACTCGGCACGTATTTACAACATAAGAAATTGCACTTTTTCATCAAAGTTGCAACTTTTCCCCAGCCCCCAAAATGGGGTATTTTGGGGACAGCCCCAAATTTTCAAATGCCACCTATCATGTGACCCCTCATTTTAAAGGGTTTATCAAGAGAAATTGATTGGCGCAAACCAGAGGTCAATATCGCACTCCTCCAAAATGGCAGCCATTTTAATTATTTAAGGTGAGCAAGCAAGATAAAGTCTGGACAACCCCAGTTAACTTAAAAAAATTAATATTTTAATACTGACCAAAAGGTGAATTATATTTTTATATAAAGATATGCTAAGTTTAGTTTTCCTGCTATAACCTGTTAAAAAGTTAATAGGGGATATTTCAAAATGACTGCCATTTTGATTAGGGGTGCGATATTGACCTCTAGTTTGCGCCATTCAATTTATCTGGAGAAACCATTTAATGAGGGGTCACAATGGTCACATGATAGTAGTTTACATTTGAAAATTTGGGGGTGCCCCCAAAATACCCCATTTTGGGGGACGGGTACAAGTTCTAACTTTAATAAAAAAATGAATTTTTTTATGTTGTAAACATGTGCGAGTTTGGTTTTCCCCCTGCCACATGTTATAAAGTTAACTGGGGGTGTCCAGACTTATCTCTTGCTTGCTCATCTTAAAATAAAATGGCTGCCATTTTGATTAGGAGTGCAATGACCTCTGGTTTGCGCCATTCAATTTCTCTTGATAAAACACTTTAAAATAAGGGGTCACGGTGTTTATATTTAAAATTTGGAGCTGCCCCCAAAATACCCCATTCTGGGGGCTGGAGCAAAGTTGTAACTTTGATGAAAAAGTGCAATTTCTTATGTTGTAAATATGTGCTGAGTTTGGTTTTCCTACTGCAACAATTAAAAAGTTAGCTGGGGGGTTCCAGACTTTTGCCTAACCCTGTAGTTACAAATCAAAGTTATGATGCAGCTCTCTGACCCTAAGTCAGAGATGATAATATACAGTAGGCTACTATATCCAGATATATCCACATATAACGTAACACGTTTTCCGTAGGGGTTTTCCACCCCTCCCTCCCCCCTGTTACTCTGCATTGCAAGCCTACCCCCCCCCCCCGCCCACCCCATTTAAAGAAATGCTGTGAGAATTTTCCCAAACAAGGTTGTGGGGTATGAAATCTAGGTAAATCTTCTGAAGTAAAAGAAATGTTTAATCTGTTTTGGAGTAATGTTATTAATAAAAACAACAATTTTAAGAACAAACTTATATAACAGTTTATTTTAGCACAATATCTAAAAAGATTTACGTTAACAAAAAAACTTTATTTTTAAAAAATCTGCAATTGTATACTGAACACTTTTCATGTGTTTTTAAGTGTCTTTTTACTGTATTACTTCTGAACAAAATTTGCATTACGATTTAACAGTACAAAATTCAGATTTATTTTATTTGCCATTGTATTCAGCCAATGGATTGGTAATCGAATCCATTCTTATTTCATGTCCTCTATGTCATGACTGAAAGATCAGAGCTAGGAGCTGGTAAGACATTTTTTAATAAGAATATCAGTTTCAGACCAAAATAAAAAATAAACAATTCAAACTATTATAACTAAAAGGACTGTTGATTTCATCATTCTGATGGAAAAAAAAATCAATCTTTAACAACCTCCTTGTAACGCTAAGTCAAAACCCTTCCCTATTCCTTGAGCGTTACGTAATATGTTGGCCTAAACATAGATCAGATCTGACAAATAACGGCTTAGGAGTACCTCGACAGACAATATTTTTTGACATGTAGGGAAGCATCTAGAGTTCTCTGATGATGAACATCTTAGGCGTTATTTTGTCATTTAACGAATGCCTGGGGCTATAAAATGAATTACAAAATAAATATGCTGATACATTTTTGTTACAGAATGCTGAGGTTTTACAAGTCGCAGCTTATACAGATGCCAAAGCGATGCCTCATTAAAAAAAAATAGCAGGTTAAACAGATATTATACTGGCTAACTCTACCTCAAATCTCCACAGAATGTGTTAAGCAAATTTTGTAAGATGCAATTATTGTGGATTTACTGGTAAAGTGAACTACTAGTTTTGTAGGTTTTTATGGCAGCCTGTGTCAGAGTCCACTGATTTTTGTTGTCAATCGTGCTCTCAAAGGAACAGAAAATTCACTAACCAAACTTTCGTCCTTGCTGTGAAATGGCATCTTCAGAGACTATACTGAACTCAAAATGCACTACTACTACTCTTTCTTTTTTGGCCATTGCTTTGATGTTTGGCAAGTTTCTCTTGCTGCCCTTGCCCTGAATGGAAGCTATCTTTCCTCAAACTTTATTACCCGGAAGATTCTGATGGTTAGCAGTAGCTGGAATTGACAGAAAAGATTTTATCTTTCTGTAGTGTGTTGAAAAGAGTGTTGAAAAGAGTGATGGCTGTGTCATATAATGTGCTAAACATAGTTCAAAAGAGTCCATTGGGACAGAACTTACTCTGTTGCAATGTTATAATAATTATCAACTCAGAATGTACGATAATAATTGGCGAAACAGCTAATTCAAGGATTCTTATGGATTGTGAATAAGAGTTTCAGGTCCTTTTAATAACCAAATAAAATTTAAATCATATTATTTGACACCTTTTATTCATAGCTGACCAGAGGAAATATTATATCAGTGTAGATATCAATGCATGAGCATTTGTTACCAATGAGCAAAAATCTAGACATAACATGGTCAATTACGGCTAGCACCTTTTTTAATTTCAAGTTTTAGCGAATTTCCCATATAGGGAATAAGCTATTACCGTAGTACTCATGGTAAGACCTGGACGCGGGACCAATTTTTTTTTTCGTTTTGAGGTCCCTAGAGGCCAAAAACACCATCCGTTCAAATTCATATATATATATATTTATATATTTATATATTTATATATATATATATATGTGTCCGTCAGCACGATAACTCGAGCAAAAATGATCCGATTTTGATGAAATTTGGTACAAACGTGTAAACGTACGTTTATTCGAACGAGTTCGCGATCCAGCATGATCGGACCATGGGAACGGGGGTTTACGGGGGGTTTTATGGGGTAAAAATAGGTTTTTCCCATTTTTGACCCAAAAAACATAAAATTTAGCAATTTCTTTCCAAACCATTTTGTAGAGCTTAAAAAAACAAATAATTTAGTATATTGAAGCGTTATTATGCGCCTAATGGTTACGGAGAAAATACCAAAAATTGTACATTTAAAATTCCCATGTTATTCTTATGGAGAATAAGTAAACTGTTGTAGTTTGCTTGTTTGTGAACATATTTTGATCAAATTTAGAAAATGTTTTTATTTCTTACTAACTATTCACATTTTACAAAAAAAAAAACAGTTTTACCCTCCCTGATGCAGCAAACCTAAGTACTTGTTAAACTAATTCTATTTAAATCAAGAATAAATGTTATATTTTTAAGTAGACATTTCAGTGTAAATCCAATCAGTCAAATGGAAATTCGCTTAGTCTGCAGGTTTGCTGCGGCGGGGGTATTTAGTAGTCTCGTGAAGTTTTGGATTCTTAATTTGAAATACATATATTCATGCGATTATTGAGTCTAGCTAGCTGGTCTAGCTAGATTTGAGTCTAGTTAGCTCATGATATCATCCCTAATTAAGCTATATGGTATTTTATTTCCCTAAGTAAAATGAGGCTCACTGTCTGAAAGATCATAGAGACCCTCATTCAATTTAAACAACAAGGAAATATAATCCCTTCAAACTATAATAGGTTAATGGAATGATTTGGCAAAAAACACCACTGATGGGATTCTAGACAGCAACTGTAATTAACTACTTAATGTATCATAGGAAATTAATAAAATTCAAAAGTAGAAACAATGTTTTTTTTTTAATTTAGCACTGCTCTATAGATCAAGACATTATGTACACACTCCTTACACCTACCTACAACTGGTATTATATTTATCCGATTTCAATTAAATTAATAAATATTTAACTGACATAAATATACTATGGATAAAAATATAACACACAATGTAACAATCCAGTAAATTCTTTCAATTGTACATTTTTAAACAACAGGAATGTTATTAATTATTCTTACATATTGCACATTACATGTTAACAAATAAGATAAATACTGTTACATAGCCTAGCTCTTTAGACTAACTCTTTAAAGCTATAATTTCTCTGGAATGCACATACCTAACATAAAATAATAAATAACGTCCTAAACAAAATTTGTTATTAACAATGGAAATCAGTTGTATTCACATAAGTTAACATAATTTGTAAATATTTACTTAGCCAACACATTTTTACAATGGAAAAACGTATCATAATGTGTAATGGCAGTTTAAAGGAGTCAACTGAGGAATGTTACCTTATCAATTAAAAGTTTACAATCAAGATCGATCACAATAATATGGCAAATAAATTACAAAATATTCCAAAAATATAATAACACAACATTATTTTTGTCAAATAAAAATAGGAATGTTATTCATCTAACCTTTTATGAGGTGTACTTAATGTAATAAGTAAAGGAGGGATAATGTTAAGTACCTATTATTTGTTTCAATAATTAATTGGTAAATGAATTTAAAATGGAAGGAAATTATAAATCTTATACTTTTATCATCTGTCCAATATAAGGGCGTTTAGTATACACAGTGACATTCTAAAATCAACAATACATTTATTAGTTGAAATAAACATTTATGATACCAGATTTGTGAATTTGCTTTTTAAATTAAAAGTTGAGAGGACAAATTAACAGTAAGACAGTAATTGAACTAAGACATTTTTAACACTTTCTATAAACCTCCACTAAATAATGACATATACTCTAGAGCGAGACTACTGTAGTTATAATTACCATTCCAATCATTCAACGCCAACCAACCTCGTAAAATTGTGAACGGAGCCAAGGACTGATCTGATTTTAGTTCTTCTGATGTTTGAGTAATATTAACTGTTGTTAAATAAATCTGAGACAGAAGGACCGGTGTTTTCTTTTTGAAACAAGGTAACCAAAGGAAATGTATTATTTTAGGAAGATTTGTAGCCAATAATATAATTTCAAAAATAATTTTCCAACAGCATTTTACAGGTGGCTCTCGTAGTATGCTTGAATTTTAGGTAACGATTTGCATCTATTGCGGTTGATTGCAACTATTATCACTGGTGTAGTACACTTACTGGAGGTCTCATCATCATCTTGCTATGTTGTGATTGAGTAAATATTTTAAAGAATTTCTTTTTAACCTCATTTTGAAAAAAATATGATTTTAAAATTGATTTGCCGATCGAGTTTTTAGACCATACACAGTGAACTTTCTCTTGTCCCGACACCATTAAGCTGGAGACTTGTTGGAACTAAACATCAGAAGGTACTAACTAAATGAATCAATACATTTAAAAATTCCATGTTACATGTGTAAAATCCAGAAGAACATGGCCATTTGAACCATCAAAAGTCCAAACCGAAAGGATCCAAAAGAGGACTGACATGTACTATAGTAAAATCCCAAAAAATTGTAAATAAAAATTCTACAGTAAACCAAAATAGAAATAAAATAGTTTTTGACTTTTTTTTTAAATTAAAATTTTCCTTTTTAAGTTCCACATAACCCTATGTCTACAATGTTGCTAGCGAATTATAGAACTTGATAGATTTATTAGTACCCCTGTACCTTTGCTATTTGAACCTAGCACTGTTGGCGGACATTAAGTCACATTGAGGACACATCAGTCATGCACGTAACAACGGCACAAGCCAGATTCTGAGTATACATTTTTATCTTTGGCCCGTTTTTGTCATCGACTCGGCAATCTTCTTACACTGAGTAGTGAGTACCCTTCAGATCCATATTACGCCGAATATGTGGGACTTGGCTGTGTTGGCAATGATAAAGGCCTTCTCAAAAAAGAGGATTTAATGTCCAAAATAATTTGAGCCAGTCTATACTTCAAGCCTAAAAACTTATGCTAGTAACAAACCCAAGGCTTACAATTGATTTCATCCATAACTCCAACATAGCACATTACACGGGGAGTTGATATTTTTCCTTAATAATTCTTGTGGAAACCACCTACTACTTCAAATCTTGGTTCGATTATCTGACTGAGATGATGCATCAACGGCTAATGGCGCGCTCTCTCTCTCTCTCTAAGAAAATACTAACACAGTTGTTTCCATTAAATGAAAACTATATTTGACTACCAAACTCATAGCTATTACAATTTTAAAATTCAGAAATTAATAGTATCCTTAGGAAAATAATTATCTACTTTAGTGGTATTGATTCGGTGGAATATGTGTTATACAAGTGCTGCTGGTAAGTACCGTATATAAGTACAACTTTGTTTGGTTCACTTTAGTGAGAAGAAAACTTACATCTATAATACATTTATAGTACATAATACTTGGAAGCTATGCAAGAGCCTAAGGAATGTTGCTGCAACCTGGTTATATTTCTAAGTTGTGCAGAGCCATTGTTTAAACTTTATTTAGCATTGGAAGGTTGAGAACTTCTGGTATTTCAATTTCTTCCAACTGGATTGGTGAAGGCTTGAAAGGAAAACGCACTGGGAAATTGAATTTGGTATCCATCAACAGGGTTACCTGGAAAGGCATTAATAAATTATGAAATGAAATGAGTACAGTAGTCTAAAAGTACTCATAACCCATGATCTGTTTTTAGACCAGAGTCTTGCTAATCCAAACTAAAGATTAATGCAGTCAGATTAAATAAAAAATTGAAACAATATATAGTAGACTCCCTCTTATCCGGACACCTTTTTACCGGACATCGGTTTAACTGGACTACACTAGGTAGAAGTGACATCTCTTTATCCGGATAATTTTTATCAGCACATCGATTTAACCGGACTAGATCGGCAGGAAGTGGGCGGTACTGAAACTACTGTTCTCGTGGGAAAGATTTGAGACCAGTGATTACGTGTCTAAATACAACGCTCTCCTAATTTTAAGTCAAATACTGTATAGAGTATGCATTTAAACAGTCTGTTTTAACGAGATTTTGGGGACGATGGTTTAACCGGAAAACCCGTTACCCGGACTGGCCTCGGTCACGAGGAGTCCGGATAAGAGGGAGTCTACTGTACAGAATTATTATGTTGGTTAATGGCCATGGCCATACATGGCTTCCACAATATTACCGTTACCTAACCATACTACAACCATTACCAGAATATTACAACCATATCGGGGATCATGTTTTGTGATAACAGTGACACTACTGTGATCGTCTTTCTCTTAATAAACGAGAAGCTTAAGAGAAAACCAACAAACATTGTTAATGCTAGTTTTTCAAGATCTAATTAAATTAAATTAACTAATTCTAAATAAAGATGCTCAAATCACTGAAAAGAACGTACGTATGTATACTGGAAAAATATGACACCTTATTTTGAAAGAAAATAGATCATTTTCAAGTTTAGAATAGGATGTATAAAATGTTTAAATCACCTGATCTCCAGCTCGCTCTTTCAGTCGTTGCTGTACTTTACGGATGAATGACAAGGGAACTCTTTCTTCATAATCATCTGCCGGTGTGTATAGATTTAGAAGTTTTACAATCTAAAACAGAACATTGTAAAGTTGAGAAAACATTATACTATACACTTGATCTTAGGTTTGAATTTTTGGTTTCAAACCACATAAGCCTATAGGATTATTGAGTACAATTTCAGTAAATTTCCAAACTATGAACAGTGTAAATGCCTTGACCAACCACAAGTTCAATGACATTTTCTAAACGATAAAGCGTAGGATGTCTAAAGGATGTCATGTGAAGCGTATGACCTACCTGAGGGACCGACATCTTCATGCACATTTCACAGACGTTGTTGACGTCTTCATCATATTTGCGGGCCTGGAGTAGTTGAGCAGCTTGTATAATCGGCTGCAAACACTCCAGGATTGATGGATCCTTGAACCAACAAAGCGCAAAGTTAAACATTGGAATTTGAACAATTTTACACCACATTTTGAGTCAAAGTAGTAGTACATTGATTTGAATGAACGATCTTTCCTCCAAAACATCCGATTTAGTGAATTCTCGATCTGTTCAATACTTTTATGTATAGAGTTGTGTTATAAACGTCGACTTCTCAAAATGACTTGTTATTGGGGTTCTGAATTACAATGTGATTTAGAAAAAAAGCAAAATTATTGAGGTTGCTTAAATAGAGACAGTTGTTTTATTGAAGTTAATTTAACATTATGTGTTGTGGCCTTTTCAAGGAGATTTGAATACAGAAATGAGCACTTGCAATTGAGACTGTTGGCTTATTGAGGGTCAGGTAAATGAGGTTCTAGTGTATTTCTAATGCAAAATGATAAAATGACTTACATTGAGTTTTTGGTCCCGAGCCCATTGTTCAATGTGTGACAGATTGTAACGAATGTTCATGCCTTTTCCCCAATGGCAGAGATCTCGCCTCAGAAGCAAGTTGTTGAGCGAACTAGCGCAGATGTAGTAGAAGATCTGTAAACGTTAAGAAGAACAAAAAAGATAAATCATCATTTTAAAAACTTAACTTCTCTAAAAGGTAAGGAAAAGTGAGATTTGAATGATGTTTGGGCAGCTTTTATTACAAGTTTTAGTAGTTTTACTCTACTTTAACTTTAATATTTTTTTTATTTACAATTTTCTTGTAATTAATCATTTAATAATTTATTTTGATCTTTTCAATAAATCTTTTATTCCATTCTACTCACAAGTCAACTAATGAAAAGGACTTCTTGGAATAGACTCTATTTTGAAGCTGAATATTTCTAAAATCTTGCATGAGTTTGTTGTTAGAGCTGTACCTTTTGTTCATAATTCTGTGCGAAAATGAAGAGTTCAATCCTAGTATCCACAACAATTTCACTGCTTTCCCTTTTAAAGGTTTGTGTTTTTTCATATATAACACAACTTACATGTAGCAAAATAAACAAACTTTTTAAGACTATAACACTTCCAACTAAAAGCAAGATTTCAGAGATGCTGTTTGTTAGGCAAAAATCATAAATATGTGGTTGTTTAGTTAGTTACAGTTGAATTGAATTACAATAATTATGTGAGCCAGTTTGTCCATTACCTGTCGGAATACTTGCACGATGATTTCTTGGTCGACTCCGTGCAGGATGAGAGTGCGATGGAAGCCAGTGAGTTCCTGCAGCAGACTGTCGAGTGCTTGTTGTGCAGGGATTGGCGCAGCATCACTCACAGAGGCTGCACGACCGCGCATGCCGTTTGACAGTCCAGTTATAGCCTCATGTTCCAAAATAGCTGGCACTGCCTTGTGTTGCAGCTTCTGTTCCATATATCTGATGACAGCCTAAAGCAGAGTTATTGATCCATTTACTTGTTTTCTAGACTGATATGAAGAGAGTAAAACTACAGCGCATCCTTGATGTAATGAATCCCAAGTGACCAAACCAAGAATTTGTTTTATCAAGTATTTTGTTACAATGAGGTTCGTCAGATTGAGGCACTGACTTTTGGATACTGAAGTATCTCAGCTATACCTATGTATACGCTGTTACAAAGAGGCATTTGGAGAATGTGCTACACTCTACAATTATTTTCCCTGTCTTAATTTGTTCTACTGAGGCATTTTATGTGACAAAAAATGTTAATCCTACTATGAGTCATCCTACTAGTTTTACTTGATTAAAAAGGTGGCATATTAGACAGAAATCAGTAATTTATTTCAGAGCACTCTCAATGACTCAATTCAACTAAATTTTGACACAACAACTGGCAACAACTTTAAGATGAGGATACTATGTCTAGTTCTAGCATTACTCAAAGGTTGTGGTTACGTGAGCTCAAATTTTGCTACATCAACTTCCACAGACCATTTTAATTAAGTTTGATTGCCTTTTCAATCTTACCCCTTTCAAAGGTTAAATATTAGTCACAATAGCGTCTTAGGGGTAAAACAGTGTCATATTACAAGTTTGTACATGGGCTGACAGCTCCGAACACCACTATGTTGTAGGTAGGTGTGACCGAGGAAGCTTTACTTCCAGGTTAAATATTAGTTAATTTGCAAATGAACGCTTCACAAATCGTGTAACTAAAAAACTTAAATTCACCTAGCCAATCGTCATACCATTTCAATGAAAATGATAGCATAAAATATTGATACCCCAATGAATAGACCCTATCTCACAGCTGTGGTAATACGTTTATGTCTATAAAACTGTACAACCTACATTTCAGGGTAAAATCCCCACTATATGTAAAATACAATGCACCTACCATGTATATCCAGATGGCAAGGTCACTCAGAACTTGTCTATATTCAGAGAGATCAAAGTTTCGAAGACATTGCTCGTTTTGTGTCGCTGTATTTTCCTCCTACAATTTGAAAGGGATTTAAAAAAGAAATTACATTAACCCTTTGAGGTCGATTTTTTTCATTTTTGACGAGTATAGTTCGTTATTTGATCAGTCGGGAAAATGGCGCCCGGCGATCTATACTCACCATTCGACCACAAAGATAAACTTTTTTTATTTTTTTTATTTTTTGTTGTTGTAAGTATAGGTTGCCATTTTCGAGCAGTCGGGAAAATGGCGGGCGGCGCCCTATACTCGCCATTCGACCACAAAGGGAAACGGTGTAAATTTATAACATTGAAACATAAAACACACTGGTAATATAAATTATCCATGACGAAAAGGACCTGTAACAATTCAAGATAAGAATAAATCCTGTATCAGTACTAAACTGACACTACTGGTACTAGAAAGAAATCTTTAATAAAATAACTTTGATAAAAGGTTATGTAAATATTTTGCTTCCACTATTAGTCAAGTAAGTTTATCTATCATTACCAAATTTAAAAATATAAATTGGTTTAAAGATTCAATATATCTGTGTTTCTAAGATCACTAACAAATTGGTGAGTCCTTGGCTTAGTCGGTAGTGCCACGGGCTTTGGGCCCAAGGCAGCAATGTTGTGGGTTCAGATCTGGTACTGCCACTCACTACTTTTTATCAGTACAGTTCACCCTGGAACTGTCCGGCTCACCCCTTGCTTTGCTGTATACGTTCCACGCACTTGCCTCTACGGGCCATAGTCCAATGGGCAAATACAAGACAAAAGAACCTCCATTTAAAAGAGGAAAAAAAATATTTCTGGTTTAGCTTTAGGTAAAGTAAAGCTGACCGATCTTTTTAATTGCAGCTTATATTAAAAACTTAAAAACGCACTTAAAAAAGTTTGGTTCTTAAACGCACAAACAGGTTGGTACAATTTATTGCTGTAAATACAAATAAAAATCTTATCCAGTCTTGCTATAAAGATTCTACTGATTCAATTTTAGGAGTATAGCCGCAGACAGTAATCTAGAAAATAGTTTAATCAGTATTCCACACATGATTTGGACCTCAGCTATTAAATACATTTGATTTAAAGCAGACAAATATAACTATTTACTAAAAACTCTTGGAAGAGGATATTGTAAATCATCAAGAATGATATTACAATCCAAATGGTTTGATAAACTTCTATTTGTCACTGAGCTCAAATATGTAAACAATGGATGCTTGACATTTTTAGCTGTCTGTTACCTTAAAAGTCTTCTCTCCACTGTATTGCTTGAGATTATGCAGCATTCGTAGAGTGTTGCCCAGCCACATGACAGTTGTTTCAATATCGTCTTGCCTTTTCCTGATTACTTTCTTAACCGTGTTTATAAACCCTGCCAGAAGGTCACGTACCTGAAAAATATTTGATAATTGAATTTTTTTTTAATTGAATATGTAACAGATCATTTGATTGAAATTTACAGAATGAATATCTTTAATTTGAGCACAATGCTAACAGATATATTAGCACTCTGTCAGCCTATTTGTGATCTACGAATACTCTTATACTTTATTAAAAGTAAAATCCTTATAATTCCAGAAGGCAATTTCTACGAAACACTACTCCTCCGTTAATAATGGACGGATTTTTACAAACGATGTGTCAAAATTAAGTATTAAGTCATATGTTGACGTCACCCAGATTGCAAACAAAAAAATCACCTGATTGTATTGTCATATATGTATGTTTGTTTTGATTTGATTGTTATTGTCTTTCTAATTTTTTCTAATGGTGAAATGGTGTTTTTAATCTGGGTGAAGTCAACATATGACGGGAACAGCACACCTATGTTATTTCCTTCCACCATTGGCCATCATAATCCCAAAGTATTTCTTATGAAGAAAAGATGTTGTTTACTTAAACAGACGAATATTTTTTATTAATTACAGCTGTTCATAGTAAACACATGATTCACACAAGAGCGTTAGTTTTCAGAGTGAGTTCGTTTTCAGTTTTGATAACCGGAGTGGATAATTGATTACCTTTGAGTTGACTGTTTTAAATCATTGGAGATTATGACTGATAAATTTGTTTTGAAATAACACCTGTAATACTTTGCAATTGCTCTAATTCGAGCAACAGGTGCACTAGTATCCATTTAATTTGCTACAGTTCTGATAAAACTTTGTCTTGCATTTGGTTTAATCCACTAGTTTATGCACACACACGAATACTAGAAAAATACCGGTATGGATAATTAACATTTAAACAAACAACGTTATGGCACACCTATACTAATAGCATTAATTTACATATGGTTTTGTTTACTTTCGGGCCAAAAACTTAATTTTTTTATGATCCATACTGGGTCTTTTCTAGTATTCGTGATGCACACATAACATAAAAAAATGTTGAGCAAGATATCACTTGTTTAGTTGAGTTGTTGAGTTACATATAAGCAAATTTCCCTATTTTTATCACGTGAAGCAGAAAAATATTTGGATGTACCTTGTTTTGCATTTGAGCAATAATTTATAGAATAGACTTGATGTTAAGACGCCCCTAAACAATTAACTATGTTGATGTTATAGGTTTTACATACCTCTGTTTTTTTATGTTTATGTTATGTTCATTTTAATTGTGTTTTTGACAAGTTGCAAGCTTTGATAATATTGTCTTTGCAACAAAACATGTAAGCTACTGAGCAGGGGTGCCCATCCCCCCCAAAGCTCACGTCGCAGAATCCCCCCCAAATTCGTTGTTTAACCCATGCCGGAGGGTTTGGGGGCTAACCCATAGTTATGTTTATAATGCGGGGAGGGAAGGGGTGCCCCCGACACTTCTTTAAATTTATGGGAATTTAAGCGTTTGAATCAAACTTTTAACCCAATTTAAATGGACAATTTTGCTTTAAAACTCTAGTAGCAAACTATTTGTTAGTTTAGTTTTAATTTAAATGAGTTGGATTTTTAACATGCACACAATTTGAATCAAAATTGGCCATGTAGTTTTTTTTAATCAGATTTTCCATGAATTAATAGGTTTTAAAGAGAAAATCACAAAAGTTGCAATAACTTTTGAACCATAATTTTTACGGCATAGAGGGTTTATACAATTTTTGTCATAGTCAAAGAGTATAACATGTTAATTTTTAATCAAAATCGTTTGGGCCAATTCTGAGAAAATTTTATTCATCCATTATTTTATAGGGTTTTATGGAATATCACTATTAAAAATCCAAAATGAAAAAAAAAAACATCTGGAGAGATCATGGATTGGTACCTAAAATACCAAATTTCATCAAAATCGGACTCCGACCACAGGCGTGGTCTGTAGCTCTGTACCATACATACACATATACACACACACAGACAGACAAACACATCACTTCGAAAACCACTTTTTTGGGATTAGGGTTTTTACATAAACAATTCTTTTACCATATTAAATTGTAGGGGAGAAAGTACCGGTTTTTGCACAATTTAAATAGTGAGTGAAACACAATAAATACAAACACAATTTCAAAGCTGTTTCCACTCCACAAACCTTCCCTTCAAGTGTAAGTCACTGCTAGGACTCATCCAAACCACCGCTAGGACTCATCCAAACCACCGCTAGGACTCATCCAAACCACCGCTAGGACTCATCCAAACCACCACCATCTGAACTCAATGAAACTGAAGTTTGTTATTGGTTATTTCATTGTACGGTCACTTAAGAATCTTCCTGATAAAACTTGCATTTTCGGAACCAGCTTTAAGTAGACATATCAAAACATTTTTAACCATTGTAGCTATAAAGAATTATAACAGGTTTTTTTCATTTCTGGGGACTCGATAGTTGTTTTATATGCCAAGTTGTTTCACTCCACTGTCCTGGAAATAGCTTTACGGTAAGAGATTTTTGCATGTTTTTTTTACATTAGCAGAGGATATAGTACAACGATGTTGCAATGAATTGGTTTTTGCACATGGCAATGATTACAGAGGAAGAGAGGGAAAATAATCCGCCGATGAGCAATCGTAAACTGTGTATGTTATTAATGTTATTCTAACTAGCTTGAATTTAAGATTTTCAATTTGATTTGGATTGTATAAAACTGAGTTAAACACTCAATACGGAGACTGATCCTAGTTGACCTAAACAAATTATGCGAGTCACTGTCATTGTTTGACCAAATGTCTTCTCAAGCTTATTCAATATTTTCAAAAGATCTGAGTCTACATGTTTATAGATTGCAAAACATTACGATTAAAAAATAACCAAACAAAAAAGGCGATTGAATTATTTAGTTCTGTTTGGCCTAGGTTGAATATTTGGTTTCAAGACACTATCTATTATAATTTTTGAGATTTGAAAATGCAATATTCTCAAAAAATTGTTTTCGTACAGTGTTATTAAATTAACAAAACACATCTTATCCATAAATGCTAAGTTAATACACACCTTTTCTTCATCGTTGATAAAGTCAGTATGACGAACACACATAAACAAAATGTATGCAGGCAGCCCAGGCAACAGAGTGACAGCAATCTGAGGTTTAAGATCTGAAAAAATATTATTATGTATTTATATTATTACAAAAAAGTTACAAATAAATAAATCAAGAGGATGTTGCATTGACTAGTGATGTAAACAAATCTGAAAAAATGTTTAAGAATGTGGAAGTTAAATCATAATTTGGCAAAAACTGTTTCTAACGAATTATATATTTTTCCTACAGTTACCTAACAATGAACATGTTCTCTCACTGATTTGAGAAAGCAAAGTGGCCAATTCGCTCATCAGTGGGACAATGTTAACATTGTCTCACTCTAATTACTTTGTCTCACTCCAGATTTGCAACGTGAAGGCACAAAATAGTGAGCGCGTAACATGCAGGCAACGTCGTATGCACGCGAAGTACGTTGGCAGCACTGGCTGTAAATCAGCTGGTCAGCTGTTGTACTGTTGTATTTGTCACTTCACATTAAATGTTATATTAAAAGTTCACTTCTGTGTAAAAATAGGTTATGTTTCTTCACCAATTTATTTGTTTTATGGTAACTGTAGGAAAAGTATAATGTGCAACTCCAGTTCAAAGTACAATTGACTCACTCGAGAGAAATCCTTACTCACGAGCCGTAGGCGAGTATTGGAGCAAATGTCTTACTAAATTATTAATCAAACTTAACGTCCCTATTTAAATAACATTCTATAAAAAAAAAAATTTTGTTTTTAGCCAGGTCTTCAGGGTGGATCTGGACTGTGTTTTACTATCAATATTTTGAGAGACGCCCGCCGAACTCAGACTAACCTTGCACTTATGTGGCACCGCAGGCAGCGATTGGAACTGCCAAATTATTGAGACTGTGTCACATTATAAATACCTGGGCATTATAATGGATTCTTAATTGAAATGGGAAAGCCATATAAATTTTTTTTTAACAAAGCTTAGAAAAATGATTTATGTTTTTTACCAATTAGGTCAAATTTTACGACATGAAGAAATTAAAAGAATTGATTACGCATATGTTTAATCTCATCTGCTTTATGGTTTAATAGCTTAGGGAGGGACTTTTTCATCGGTAATTGAACCTTTGTTCGTGATTCAAAAATCAATAATTAGAGCTGTGTTAAGAAAACCAGAAGAATGATGAACGTTGAACAGATAATCAGTAGAATAACGTCTCTTCTGATCATCTGTTCAAAGAATCTCAGCTTTTATCAATAAGGCAGCTATATATTAAAGATTGATTAGCTTATTCATACATACATTTAGACCTTATTGCCTTTAGACCTTATCGCCTCATCCGTAGTTCATAACTATCATACCAGAAACTCAGTGATGATAGGATTACGGGTCCCAAGAGTTCTCAAATCAATCAATTTAACAAATTCCTTTTACATTGCTAATTGCTTGTTTCGTAATATTCCTCCAGAAATTAGGGGCCGTCGAGTGTCACTGAGTGTATAGTATATAAGAGGGTTATCGCTAACTGGCTGATGGAGATAGGCCTTGACAATACCGAGTCGCTTATCAGCCCAGAATATATCGTTTAGACCTAACCAACTGATAACTGGACTATCTATTGTATCTTCTACAGCACTCTTACTTGACGGAATTCATGCCTCAGTAAAATTGGGAATTGAAGGAAAAAAGTTAATGTCACACATCACTACACATGGGTGTTAAACACATGGGTGTCACATGGGTGTGATGTGGTGTACATTAATGTACACATCACATCAGCTGAGAAAGGAATTTGTAAATCCATGCTCATGCTACTGTTCAACTCTGTTCACACCAACTGGTCGACTAAGTGTAATGTGAACAGAGTGTCTGCATAGGTGAGCACCGTGGGTACGGGGTTAATCCCCTTTCTTACAGTATATCAAATGAAATGCAAGCAATGAGCTCCCCTAATTATTGTGTTGCATATGGTTGTTAGGTTTTAGAGTTAGGTTATTATAGTTGTATAGTAAATTAATTTTTATGCTTATTTTACCAAGTTATTGTTAGATTTTTTTTATGTGTATTAAGTGAAGTGCGAAGAACTTTTATTTTGATTAAGGAGCCAAATAAGAACTCTATCAAGCTCAGGTCACTGTGACCCATGTGATATTTTTATTTGTTACATATATTGCTGCAAAATCATTTGTTGTAAATAAAGAATTTCTCTCTCTCGCTCTCTCTCTTGAGGATAAAAATGTTTTAAATTCACCTCTCTTTTAGACTCTTTACCTATAATAGAAAATATACAATTTTATAACGTTTTTTTACTTAAATTGTGCATGCTTTTTTATGGAAATTTTGATAATCAAAATTAGGGTCCAGTCCCAAACAAATCAAATCAAAACATCTTTATTTTCCTAACATGTACATGGGTACAAAAATAGTGTCAAGTATAAAGTATAAGTACTAAACTAGCCTAGATATAAATACATTTTAAGTACCTATGAATATTTATTCAATGAGTTCCTCCATTGTATAAGGCACCTTTCCTATTAAATGTTTTTTTTTATTTAGCTTTAAATCATTTATAATTTGATTCCTCTTTTATAGAGGCAGGCAATTTCCTTAGAATTAGTGATCCAGCAAAAGTCGGTTTCTTTTAAATTTTTTAATTGTTTCTATTAATCTGAATTGTTGACGTTCTACTGTACTTAAAATATTATTTGATTGTGTAGAGCTTAAACCTAATTCTAACCCTCAACATCTCCAAAACAAAAATTGTCATAGTGTTATACTGAACACTATTGGTTGAAATGTTTACTATTAGGATAATCATTGTAAATTCACTAGACAGACAAAATGAATTGTGTAAAATCATCCAAGATTAATAATTTAAAAGACGTCCATGTAACCTGAACTTACATGTAAATACAAGCTTGCAGTAAAGAGATGTTCAAAAATTTTAAATGAAATAATACATTTTGAAGAAAAAGCTTACCCCACAAGAGGTGTCTGATGATGACGGGCTCATCACCTTTTTTGAACTCAAACATTCCATTGTAAATTCTCTCTTTCTTACGCACAATGGGTTTGCTGTAAGCGGTTTGTTCTGCAATCGCTGGCACTTGTGGTCCAACTAAATCACTCACTGCAACAGAGATTAGATTATATAGGGTATTGAATTTAACAATAATAAAGTCAAATCAAATCAAAATCAAATCAAAATCCTTTATTTCGTATAAAATAGACAATATTTACAAAATGTAATACATGCAATAGAAATAGGTTTTAAATGTATAACTAAAATAAACGAAATTAATCCCACATGGGATAACCCGTGCGTGGGAGTGAGTCGTATGATGTTTGATTAGAAAGAATTAAAAAGGTTTGATAACAAAAAACAGGTACTTCTAATAATTAAAGTGCGGGCAAGACTCCAAAGCGCCAGCGGAGTCATGACATAGTAGATTAGGCCCACTATGTACTTTTAATCTACCATGTAGATAACAACTATCAGTGTCATGATGACCTACCCCATCCCTAACCAACCCGATCACCCCCCCCCCCACCCTCCCCCCCCACACACACACACACACACACACTACCACACACTGATACACTCAGCTGTCCTCGGTCCCAACACCAACAAGCGGCTGGTAGCCCTAGGGTACTAGGGCCGTCAATGCTCTGTCCCTGTGGCACAGAATCGAGAACTGCACACACATACACACACACACACACACGCACTCACACACACACAGCAATGTCACGCACACCTGTATCAGCTGTCAACCTATTGTCTGTATATAGACACTAATAAACTATTAGCTCCATCCCTACCAATGAGATTAAGCCAGTGAACAATGTGTTTTTTGTACGTTGAAATTGAGTGTCTGCCGTATTCTCGTAAGTCTAGTGGAAGGTTAGAATAAATGATGTGTGCAACATAATAACAGTTAGTGGTAGAAAATGTCTTTGTAAGTCTGGGTAAGCGTATACCTTGGCCTAGTGCACGTCGAGTATTATGGTCATGTTGTGGACGGTCAAAGAGCGTCTCATGGTGTTTGTAAATAAACAGTGAAACTGTTCTGATGAAAAGTTGTCTTACATCAAGCACATTCATTTCAGTGAACAGAGTTTCAGAAGGGTATTGCCTACACCTGCCGAGTGCCGCTTTTATGATTGCCTTTTGTGTTACAACGAGAGGTTGTAGAATGTTGCTGTAAGCACCACCCCAGGCAATTATCCCCCCCTCAAGCAGCGACTGTACATAAGCAAAATATGCATTTTTAATTTCATCTTTTTCAAGGAATTGGTGTAGTTGACGAAAAGCAAATATCAACTTTCTTAACTTTTTGTTTAAATATGACACGTGATCTGTCCATGACAATTTCGAATCAAATACAACTCCAAGATATTTATAATTTTGAACTCTATTTATTACTGGACAAATACAGTTATTTCCGGTTTCTTGACCACATGAATGAATTTTGATTTCGTTGCGAAGTGTGTCACTTCGAGCTCTTAAGGAAATTGGAATGAATTTTGTTTTGGTGACGTTTAGCGTTAAAATATTCTGATCAAACCATTTTTTAATTTTCGATACACCTCTTTCGGCATTGGCAAAAGCTGAGTCCCAAGTTTCTCCTTGGAATAAAACTAAGGTGTCATCGGCGAAGAGGTAAAATTCACCTTCAATGTCCAATTTCACAAGATTATTAATGTATATCAAGAATTGTAAAGGCCCTAACGTGCTACCTTGGACCACACCAAAATCTACATTACCAAGATTCCCATCGATTCCATTTATATTTACAAACTGTTTTCTATCATCAAAATAAGATCGGAACCATTTTAGAGCCACACCTTTAACACCTACCAGTTCTAATTTTTTTAAAAGAAATGATCTCTCAACTGAGTCAAAAGCCTTGGCCAAGTCAAAAAATACCAGAATAACACGTCTGCCTCTACTGATGGCCAAATTTATATCTTTATTAACCTCGAACAATGCATCTGTGATGTTTTTTGATTTTCTGAAACCAAACTGGCGGGGTGTCAAAATATCGTGCTGATTAAGGTAATGACAAACTTGATCTTTGATAATTTTTTCTAAAATCTTAGTGAACACACTTAGCAAAGAAATTGGCCTAAAATTTGAGATATTGGTGACGTCACCAGACTTGAAGAGGGGAATTACCTTGGCAATTTTGTAGGCATTAGGAAATATACCATTTTGGATACTTGTGTTAGTTATATGTAGCAGTGGTTGTTTAAGTGTCTCCCAGTTGTCTTTGAGTAGTTCAGCTGATACACAATCATACCCTGGAGCTGAGCCACCTCGCAGTCTAGTGACGTAAGTGTACAGTTCCTGTTCAGTGACAGTGTGAAGCGTGAGGATGGAGTCAACAGAGTGGTCATTGTCATCGACCACAGGTAAACCGCCCGAATCCACACTTGCTGCCAAGTTGGGACCAACGTTGGCGAAGTACTCATTAAATTCGTCGGCCACCTGTAATCTACAGTCGTTTTCAACATTCAGTCTGTTTCCTGTAAATTGTGTAAGTGGGAAAATGTCCTTTTTATTACCTCTACCCGCTAATTCGTTTAAAGTACTCCAGAATGTTTTTGGATTATTTTTTGAATGTGAAAGTTTTTCTCTGAAGTAATTGTATTTGGCTAGTTTTGTATCTTGATTTAACTCATTTTTTACTCTTTGAAATTTTGAAATCAATTCCATATTAAAAGGTTGTCTCCTAACTAACTTGCTCAATTTGTCCCTATCCCTTATTTTTCGTACTAAGTCATGGGTGATCCATGGTTTGAGAGGCCTCAGCCTCGGTTTGAGAACAGATCTTTGTTTTGTGGATTTGTTTACACAATCTTTAATTTTGCCAAAAAGAATGTCTGTAGATGTGTTAACGTCACACGTGTGCGTGACATCTGACCAATCACACTCTTTAATGTTTAAGCTCAAAGATGTTTTGTCAATGTAAGTGTTTGCGTTGTGTGACGTGTCCTTAGTGTAGGGGTTGTGACTTATTTGTAGGCAGATACTGTAGTGATCAGTTATGTCCGTCCTCACCACAGCAGTTTGTAAGGCAGTATAATCATTGTGGTTTACAAATATGTGGTCAATATTTGTTTGACTATTTCCTACTACTCTAGTAGGTGTATTTATGCCACATATAAAACCATGTTCGTAAAAAACGTCCAAGTAGCGTTCAGTTTTGTAGTCAGTTTCTAGTAAGTTGGCGTTAGTGTCACCCATGAAGACGTATGTGTTACAGTCATTTTTGTTCTCATAGTAATGTCTAAGAGCGTTAGTAAAGTTGTCTAAGTCGCTGTCATGTGTACGGTACACAGTCAGAACGTTAGATCTAGTTCCTTGATGGACAAAGTCCAAAGTCAGTCCATGCACGTCACCCAGCTCCAGTTCCTTGCATTCACACACATTCACTCTCTCACTCACATACATCAAGACCCCATCATTTTTATTTTTCCCCCTAGTTGTACAATACAATTTATACCCCTCTATGTCCAACCCCGACCCCCCATCCCTACCCAGCCATGTCTCCCCAAGCGCCATGAAATCAAACCTTACATCGATTGACTGTAACATTAATAAAAGTGTATCAAAATTTTTATTATAACTACGAACATTCATGTATAAAAATTTGAATGAACTACTTTTAAAAACAGAACTTATGTCCTTAAACCTATCTACTATTGTACAGTCTATCTGCCTATATTGATCGAAAAACAAATTGGAATCATCCATGTCTCCTTATGGGAAAAATATAAACAAATTACTTGTGTGCTATTTAAGATTGAAACAAAACAAAACCCTATTCGCCCCTGAAAAACCCCCACCCAGTCCCTCCGTCCCATAATGTCTGTTTTTAAATATCAATCACAAATAAAAGTTACCTATCAGCTGCATTCTTCATGGTATTTCATGGTATTATTCAAGTATTTGCATGGTTTCATTTTTAAAGTCTTAACACAAACTACTCCATAAAATTAACTGTTTCTCACAGTCATATTTTTATGAAGATTATATTTTTTGGGCAGAGGCTTAGGCTGGGTACAGGCAGAATTGCAATTTGACATTGTAGTACGTTGTATCGGGCCTATAGAGATGAATAGAGCAATACATAATGGCAAGTGATAGTAACGTCATCACAGCGATGCTGCAACGTACAGTCGAAAGCTGTCAGCATGATGAATTGGATATAATTCTGATTCCAGACCAAGTAAAGATAAGATACACAGAATAAATCAAATAAAGCGGGTCAAAATAAACAAGGAAAGGTCATTAAATGTTTCACAAAATAATTTATAAAAGTTAAATTATAATTTATCCATTTTTTAATGATTTTTTTTCCTAGGACGCTAGGCACGAGCCTGGGATTGTTTTTCACATTACTTCAGGGTAGACCTAGGGGTTGTGGCATTATCACTTAGATAAAATCCATTGGTGATTTGGCAGGATTTGAACCCGGGACCTCTTGGACCAAAGTCCCGCGCTCTAACCACTAGACCAGCTCGCTCTTAAATTTGATTATAATTTTATAACAATAATTTATCCATCACCGTTATCCATGCATTGAAATTTTAACCCTGCACCTGGCATCTATTTTTTTTTACTTTTTTCTCATATTTTTATGTACATCGGCTATTTTAGAGCTGTATAAACTGTGTTCTATCATACAAAAGTATATACTATTATATATTTTATTTTTCAAGACGTACAAGGAACAAATTTATACCATTGACAGATAAAAAAAAATGTGTAGAACAGTTTACTTGTAAGAACAAAAAAGATAAAGAAAATGGGCCTTTAACATTTTTTCAAAGTAGAGGATTGGGAAAAATACAAAAGTTTTTTTATTAAAAATCCAAGATATACAAAACTTTTAGAAAATGGTTCTTTACATGAAAAAATTAAAAAAGTCATGTTTATTATTATTTGTATGTACAAAATATAAGAAAGAATGTTAAGTCACACCACACTAAACACGCAGTTGCGGCATTTTACGTTTTTATTCCCAACTTTCAAAATATTGTTACACCACATTAACTAAACAAACTATATATCAAAAATAAAATAAATGTTAGAATCTCCTGTGTAAAATTATATAAAGCAATATGTAATACAGTGATGTTTTCTGATGAAACTTAGCAGTTAAAGAAATTGATGCTAAAAGTGTCTAGTCATTTGCCAGTGGAGAAACTAGTCTAAGTGACGAGTCAATAGTCATTTGCCAGATGCAGGGTTAACTGAATATTTTAAAGCTCGGGGATGTCAAAGACACTTAAGTTTGAAACGTTTTGGTTCCTGTTTTTCTGGCAATATTACAAAAATTTCAGCATGGTTGCAGGGTGGGTATCTCAGGACAGATATTAAAGCAATATTAGAGAAACTCATAAAAACTACACCATTTTCTAGAATCAGTTCTCTGACAGTTTTTTTCTTAAGTAACTTCTAAGGACTATTTTTTATAACCCTAAACAGCCTATGAACATACACCATTTTCAAGTTCATGTAAAAATACTAATTCTGAATAAATTATAAGTAAGTTTCAAGAATATCAATTTTTAGTTCAATTAAAGAATTTGAATGAAAATAGTCTCGCCACAAAATTGCTAACAACCATAAGCAATAGTGCTTTTGTTGAAGTAATGCTTGGCAAAGATTTTTATAACAAAAATATATTGCTTACTTCCAGCGTCCTTCATTCTTCTGTGAAGATCTTTGTACATTTTCTTCAACCTTCTGTACTCATCAGCAATTTGATCATGTTTATCTTGGAGATCCTAGAAAAATAAAAGATATCTTAAAAGAATGGAAAAATAAATATAATCGCATTAAAGTTTCTTCAATAGCATTATGTAATGTTGTCTTTTTATTTAATAACATGGAAGCAGAAGAGTTGAATATGATTGTAATATGGAGGACTTATTTTCATTTCAATACATGAATCATGTTATTGAGGGTTTATTGTGAACATTTTTGACAAAAAGTCCTATTACTATGGCCCTGCTATGAGCATAAAGAAGTGGGCTCATTGGATATTTACATAACCAACAAGTGACAATAACAACAAATATGTTTAAACATATTTTAGATTAATGTATAATGCATACCTTAGACTAATGTACTTTGCCTGGTAAAATAAAGAATTTTTCATTTCATTTCATTTCATTTAATGCACAAACCTAGATCAAAATCATGTTATATCTTTGTGTTAATTTTATTTAAAATCAACTGTTTTGGAAGTGACAAATCTGCTTTTAATCATCAGTCACTAATTACTTGAGTACTTGAGAACGGTGAGTTACCAAGTTTTCTTGAGTGAGTCGTTTGATCTCGTGCTGCAGGAAAGCTTCATTTTGTGACTGAGGACCCTTGGTAAGGTTGGCAGAGAGAAGTCTTTGCTGCCTCTCATTGTCTTCTCTGAGCCGCTTCAATTCTTCAACAAGCTCCTCTCTCTCCACATTCCATCGCATCTGGCACGTCTGTAACTCATCTTCCAACTGCCTGTTCACACATCAACAAATTACTAAAGGATATTTAGTAAGATCACACGGTTTTTTATTATATTGAGGAACTGGAAATGTGGTTGGAGACCCTTAGGTGCAAGAGTTTCTAAAAATGTAACAAGCAATATTATTTTATTTATTAGACTAAACTAAAATTATAAAGATGGATGTGTTTGATAGAAAAATTGAATCATGACATTAGAAAGATCATGATTCAGTCGGTTTTATTTAGTCAGTGGCAGTGATAAGACAGTGCTGGCCAGCTTGTACAGTTTTAATCAGTTTTATCAATTTTCATTCCATTTAAACTATTTTATCTACATGACAAGTTTTAATTATTGCGACTGTGACAGTTTTTTAAAGAATCTATTGACATACCACAATGAATTGATACTTTGATGATGTGGTTGGATAAGGTAATCATTTTATTTTGTTTAAAAATTAGTCCTTTACAATAGATACGTCGATGACACCCTTGTTGTGTTTGATGGCAATAAAAGGCAGTTAGATCTACAGTTAAATTATCTCAACAACATAGCTCCCAGACTAAAGTTCACCTTGGAAACAGAAGAAAACAACGCAATTAATTTCTTGGATTTAACTGTAACTAAAATTAACAATAGTTTTGATTATAAAATTTACAGGAAACCCACGTTTTCAGTCCAGACCATTCATGCAACCTCATACCACCCACACTCTCAAAAAATTGCAGCATTCAATTCAATGGTACATAGACTTTTAACGGTCCCTCTAAGCAAGGCCCCACTAGAAAAACAGGCCATGCTGCAGCACGGGTAGCGCAACACTACGTCACAGTGGTGGATAGTTGTACTATACTCTTACCATTAAAATTTTACAAACAGCCAGCTTGTTTATTTAACTAAAACAAATGGGAATGGCTATGGCAATGAACTTATCAATGAAATCTACCCACTAGTGTGACGTCATGGATCCTGCAGCATGGCCTGTTTTTCTAGTGGGGTCTTGCTCTAAGTCCTACAAATTACAACAAAGAATTCAATATTATTAAGCATATAGCCACATCCAACGGCTACAACAGCAGGTTCGTAGACAAACTTATAACCAAACACCACAATGGGAAGGTCAAACAAATGGACGAGCGTAAGAAGTACGTTTGTGTTGAATTTTCCTAGGCTTGTCATTCGCCTATTGGGTCTGATGATGATTGGAGTGTCCAATCGAAATCGATCACCACTTACCATCTTTTTTGTATATTTACCGTCTTCTTGTGAGTAACAGTATAAGCGTAAATATATGTTTTAAGTGTTATAAGACGTTTTTTTTATTTACTTTCCGTTGAATTTTCCCACACACTACAAAATTGTCTTTCCAAAGAGCTTCATAGGCAGGGAATAGAATTAACATTCAAAACCACAAACCGTACTCATAACACGCAGTCACAGACTGACCGACCAAGAGACAAAATTGAAATGAGAGGTGTTTATAAAGTTAAATGCCAAGATTGTCCAAGCCAATATATAGATCAAACAGGTCGTGGGTTCGTTACTCGTTACAATGAACACAGGCCCAAACCACGTTCAATCAAACAGAATTCAGTGTTCGCCCGACATTTAATTGACCTAAACCATAATATGAGTGGGATTGCTGACGGTCTAGAGGTGCTACATGTGTGCAGAAAAGGTAGTAAATTAAACACGCTTGAGGAATTTGAAATCTACAAATTATACAACGACAACACCGCAAGTGGACATATCGTCAATGAAAAACTGCAGTTTCGTTCACACTCTATCTTCATTGTTTAAATAAACCAAAGTAATCGACCACCTGACCTTTGTCCTGCTGATAACGAGGACAACAATGAGGAAGGAGTCTGACGCTGCAGTCTACTACCTGCGCCGGGACCGTACGCGTCGTGTGATAGGCCTCTAAATGTTCGTTTTGTGTTATTTATTTATTGTGTGCGTGTGGCAGTAATGTCTTTTATGTGTTTGTACCCTGACGATGCCGTATTAACGGTGAAACATGTAGGTTTTTAACCTAACATAAAAACATTTGGATTACTTGACGAGGTAATATATACCACAATATTATAGTTATTTTATTTGTTAAGTATTAACAGTATGTACATTTTGTAAATGGAAAGTATTTTTCATTTGGCAAATTCTGAAATAAGCAATGACATTGTTTATCACATCATTTCAATAATACTGCTCAGCAACAAAACATCAACCTCAATTAAGACTTGCCTAATAAAAGCCTATTGTTATCGTTTTATTATTTTAACTGTTATTATTTACTAAGGTACATTTCACAAATCAAAAACTGCAGACAAAATAATCAGTAATTTGTGTTCAAAGTGTCTTTTTTAAACTCAATAACATTTCTCACAACAGAGAGAATAAAATTTTTCACTTGTTGAAAAAACTGATACTTTTGACTAGTGTCGTAAATAACTATTTCTGTATTCCAGGTATATTTTGATTGGTTTATTTGAGAGAATAACACCCAAAATAATTTTAACTGACAAATTAAATAACCTTTCCAATTTTTAAAGCAAAATAAGTAGGGTTTAAGAAAATGTGAGCAGAGCATAAACAGAAAGTGTTATGATGCTCATTAAATGTATTTGGCATTGATAAACTAAATAGAGTATTGAATGTATATTTGAGATGTGTAAAATTTACAGTGGGATTTTTTTGGCAACAGAGGACAGTGATTTCAAACTTTATATATTCCTTACCTATTTATCTTCTTTTGTGCCTCAAACGCGAGCACCAACTCCCCATCCTCATTAATGAGAGACATATCCATATCCTGTGCTGCGTAGTTAGATGTGGCAATGCTGCGTAGACCTTGTGTCTGGTTAGCTAAGACTCCCCGCAGTTGCACACATTCATCCCCTAGTCGAACCAACTCTTTTTCCTGAGTCATGAATTGCTCTGCACATAGATTACTTGGCTATAGTTATGTTCTTGAAACACTAATGCTCTCAGAGATTATAATGTGTTATTATCCACAACACAAAAGTCAACAGTTTTAACTTTACAACATTAAACAGAACAAAAAGTAAACAACGGAAAATATAATATAATAAAATCACAATACTACAAACAGTTTAAGTTTATGAGTAAAATTTATGCACAAAGGATAGTTAATATGAACAGAAATAAAATTATGCACAGAAAAAAAAAAACAATACTACTTTAAAACTGATAGTTTGATGTTTGAAAGAGATTTTCTCTTCAACGTAATCTCTGAAGAAGTCTTACATGAAGGGGTGAAATATCAGTGTTCTGTTTTATGTTCTTTTATTGTGTATTTATTAGCCCCTGGACTCAAATTTCCTCAGGTAAGCTAGCTGAACTATATTCCTTTTCAAAAAAATTCCTTACCAGCCAATTGACTTTCCTTAAAGATTTAAAATCAATAAGGAGTTGTTAAGTTGAGTTGATTTCTACTTTTACCTTATTAATCAGTTTCAATGCAAAATTCATCAAAATCATGTCTTTTTACATAAATTCAGTTGAACCATTGTGTAAGGTTTCAAGTTCATACGTTCAATCATGTTCGAGGTATACCGGGTGTTCAAAAAGTCTGGCAACGCCTTAATATTTTTCTTATTAATTAACGCAGAACAATCTAACTTCAGAATTACGTCCTCAATGTAGTTGCTGACTATTTGTTCATTTAAACCGTTTTTTTTTTTTTTTCGCTTTGGGGGGACGAAATGTAGGCAAAGGAAGTCTCAAAAATCTTAAATGTAGACATAGGATGAATTATACCTCAAATTAAAGGCCTTTATTAGGGAAACACATTGCCGCAAACCCAATTGGAAAAGGAAGATTCCTTTGGAAATATCAGCCTCTCAAAGTTTGTTAACTTTTACGTAGCGGAGATTAAGAGACAGAAGTGAAAACTCAACCATGTTGGTTATGACAGTGTTTTAACGTAGATAACTTTTTAGCTGGAGTGTAGAGGGAGGGAAATATCACTAATGGTAGATTTAATCTTTGTTGAAAAACACATTAATTAATATACAAGATACCCATAGGGGAAGGAATTAATGTGCTGCCTGCAGCCCTCAGTCAGCAATTAATTTTACCGAATTTGTAGACTTTCACTCTAATTGCTATAGCAAGAAAAGTATTGGTAATAATTAAATCATTCTTTTGCCATTTTGTTCAGAATAAAATTTTTAAAAGTGTAAAACTAAAAAAATAAAAACAAAAATTATAAAAAATAATTTTAATAATAATTTTTTTAAAGTAAACTTAATTTACAAATTCCAAGATTAATCCAGACACCAAATGACACAATTATCATAAAGTTAAATTAATGACGTAGGAAAATCAACAGTTGTTTACTTTTATAAGTAATAACATAAAAAAATTTTGTTTTACCTTACCACAGCTGATTTTGGGTGATATCTGGTTTCCATGGAAACACAACCTTTGTTATTCCCAAAAATGAATTATTAAAAATACACAAAACAAGATATTTATAAACATTATACAAGTAAACAAATTAAAAAAAAAACGAGCTGCGCTCGCATGTTGGATTTTGGACCTGCGGCGGCCAGACGAGTAACGCTCGTAAGTCGGCGCCAATGGGTTAAGGCGTTACCAGACTTTTGGAACACCCGGGGACCTATGTGTAGTGAGTAGATGAGTGAAATTTGCTATACTTTACTTTTGCTACTTTGTTTAAAAATACTTACTCATCAACTCATCTGCTGATTTTCCTGGAACATTATCGGCTACAGTTTTTCGCAGGGATGTCAAATCTGCTTTTAACTTGCTATTTTCCATTTCCAGTTGTTGTAGCTAAACATGAGAAAGTAAAAATGAGACAAAAGTGATGTTTGTTAAAGGATAAGTTTATGATTGTGAAATTCCAAGTACATTTGGACATAAGTAATGAAATTGAAATGAAATGTGCTTTATTGTACAATTTGGAACATTACACAATGATACATACTTATGTGCACACAAAACAATGGTTACTAAACCGTCTGTTTGGTTGACACATTAATTTTGTTTGTGAAAAAATAACAGAAAGTACCTCCTTGACAAAAGTCTGAAAATAAAATTAATAAACTTTACATAAAATACATTTTTTTCTGACATTACAAGGAACAAATTCAAATCATTGACAAATAAAAAAAAATTGTAGAACTGTTTACTTGTAAGGAAAAAAAGAAAATTGGAAAACGCCTAGTGACCAGTCATTTACCAGTGGAGGAAATAGTTTTAGCGACTAGTCAATAGTCGTTTGCCAGATGCAGGGTTAACAATAATCAGATCTAGTGATCAGCCGATGGACTTTGATATCATTGATTGACATGTTTTAACATTTACAAAATTACCTTAAAGTTGTCCTGGGCTTTCTGTTCGGCAGGTCCGTCATCCTTGTCTTCAAGTCTGCGATGTAGTCTGTCTCTCTCACTCTCTACAGACTTCAATTTCTGCTGTAGCTTCAGAACCAGGGACACGTCAACTGGCTGCGAACAATAACTCAACTAAACTACTGTTTCAAAGATACGTCGTTGTACGTCGTGTGTATTTCATTACACTTCCATTTTTTTGTAAAGAAAATCTCAAGCAAAATCAATAACTATGCTAGAGAGTTGGTTGAACATTTAACGTTATTTTACCTACGATGGTTTTTTAACTAGCCTTTTCCATTCAATTTTTAGAATTGAAAAGATTCACTTTACCGCAATGTTTACTTAGGTACTTTACAGAACTAGTGTGGTAAAGCAACAGACCAATGGGAATCAAGGATTGCGAAGAAAGAAGTAAAACTGTAACACTTAGAACGTCAACAATCAACTCATCAGCTGGTAACAACCAATTCAATTGTTGATCTCCCGACTGCTGCTCGGAATGTAGCGTGTCACCGTCCCTACATTAAGTGTAATAATATTTCGTTTTTTTTGTTTGTTTTTGTTTCTAAGTTAAGTTGCAACAGTTTTGTTAGTTCTTTCAGGCCTTTTGGGCTTATCTAATTTCAATGCAAGTGTAAGAACAAAGAGACGCATTGAAGTTACTTGATCCCGTATTGGAATAGGGAGGGGGGCACGCGGACATTGTCATCTAGGTATTAATCACGCTTCACCCATGGTACTGTCTACATCATTGCTCTTGCTCAAAATTAATATATACACACACATTCGCATCTAATAGTTCAAATAAACCTCACGTGTTCAGCATCAAAATTACTATTTTATTTTTTATCTTCCCATTCTCATTAGGCCCTACTCTCCCTTAATTAGAGTAGTGGTGGCAGCGATACCTCCTGAAGACCCTTGACTTTACTTGCGACCGGTACAAGAAACTCACACATTCTTTCTTTAACCAAAAATTAAACTATCGATTTGCTAACCAACAGTCCCAGGAAGGTTTATTGAAATATTTTGAAAATGTCAGATAACTCTAGTAAAAAAATACATTGAAGTAAGGGATAAAACGGTATGTGATAATCTTTTACCACCTAAATTAATGAAAAGGTCAAATAATATGCACAACGTTTTTATTGATTATCCTTCACTGATAATAATTATATTTAAATAGATACTTAAATCTTGCTTGTTTTATTTAAATGTTGTTAATAAATTGTTTCAATATATTCAGTATTGGTAAGCTAATATTTGTCTACTTATACCTGAAACAACACTTATGGTAAGAATGCTGTTAGCAGTGCCTATTCCCTGAAAAAAGTTACAGAAAGAGTGTAGGTGATGAAATTTTATAAACATGAATGAAAAACGATCATAGGTAAAGTAGTGTAAGCAACTCGTAATTAGCCTTTACGACACTCGTAGATGTTTCTACTTGTGTTGTTAAGACTGTTGCGTAAGCTACTATTATAGTTGAGAGTCAGATTGTTTACCTGGATATCTGGTTGTGGTATGTTGGTTGCAGCGGCTGACTTGCTGCGGTTGATGGTTGACTCTGGTGTGGTTTGTGAGCTCCAGTCACTTCCACGGTCTGTACTTCTGCTGCTAGCTGACCGCACTGAGCCGTAACCAAAGTCCTTCAACAGATAAATGTTCAATATATCAACTCTGTATAGTCATAGTCATAGTCATAGTCAAAGTTCTTTATTCATTTTTTGTACATAGTTTGTACAGTAAATAGCGTCATATATAATACAATACTAAATCTAATTAAAATCTACTATGTACAGTTAACCAAGCAAAAATGAAAAGTAATAACAAAAATATTTATATCTACAGTAGGTTATATCTGGGAGGTGGAAAATTCTTCTGTGGAGTAAGGGGCCAGTTGTATTAAATATTCTTTCAGCAATTTCCTGAACTTATTTAAATTATTTTCTCTTCTTATGTTTTCTGGAATATATTTAAGAAAAGTATATCCTGTGTAGGTTGGTTTCTTTTCAAAAAACTTTAATCTATGTGGCAGGATAACCTCATTTCTCTTTCTAGTATTATACGAATGAGCTGGGGACTTAAAATTGATAGTTGTACAATTCTTTGCAATGAGAGTAGTTTCAATAATATATTGCCCGTAAACAGTTAAAATATTTAGATTTTTGAAATGTTCTTTTGCTGGTGCATCATACTCTAACTTAAGCATGATCCTGATTGCTCGCTTTTGCTGTTTTAATATTTTTTCCAAATTTAAATTTTTTGTTGAACCATACAGCGCTATGCAGAACAATATATGAGAGTGAACATGGGCAAAATAAATATTTTTTAATGTTTTCAGATCACAGTAATAAGACATTTTAGATAATGCGTGAATTCCTGAATTAATTTTGCCCAAAATTTTATGCACATGTTCGTCCCAACTCAGATTTTGATCTACTGTCAGACCCAAAAAATGTATACTTTTTTCGTGTTCAATGTTATGGTTATCATGTATTATTAAAGGTTCTAGTAGTATTTTACTTTGAGCTGTCTTGAACATTACAAATTTAGTTTTATGTGGATTTAAAAGTAAATTGTGATTTCTCAAATAGTTTCCAAGGTTTTCCAATTCAATGTAAGAACACACTTCAGTTTCTTCTTGTGAGGCAGTTGATAAAACGAGATTTGAATCATCAGCGTAAAGACACAACTTACTATTAAGCTTATAGATTAATGCGCTGTTTACTCCTCTCAGGTAGCAAAGAAAAAGCAAAGGCCCAAGAATTGATCCTTGAGGTACTCCAAACCTGATTGGCTTACAATTTGATGATATTTTAGTAATTTTATTATATTTAGTTAAGTGGGAAATTTCTACATACTGAGATCTATCATGGAGGTAAGAACTGAACCAATTTAAATCATTTTGAGAGAGACCAAGAACCTGAAGTTTTTCTATTAGCTTTGAATGTCTAACACTATCAAAAGCTTTTGAGAGGTCCATAAATATACCTGTTGTAAAATTTCCTTTGTCTACTGAGTCTATAACAGACTCAATGAAAGATACAGCAGCACTAACAACTGACCTACCATGTCTGAACCCATGCTGGTTATCATCCAATAAGTTATTTGTTTCCAAAAATTCAGATAACTGCAAATGCACTGCTTTCTCAAATATCTTAGAGATAGATGATAGTACAGATATTGGTCGGTAGTTTAAAACGTCTGCTGTATCATTCTTTTTGTGTAATGGAATTATTTTTGCAAGCTTTAATTGTTTTGGAAATATGCCTGATACAAAGGACGAATTTATTAGATGACACAAGACTTTACTTAATTTACTTTTAACAGCTTTAATTACTGTCACTGGCAATTCATCATGACCATATGAATTTTTATTTTTTAAAGATTCTATAATTTTTTCCACCTCCCTTTCATTTAATTGTTTAAATCTAAACTTAGGTTTTACAGTCAGATGACAGTTTGAGTTAATGATTACATCTTCCTTGACAAAGCTACTGTCACTACTTTTATCTACGTCTGTTACACTATTAATGAAATGATCATTAAAGGTATTCGAGATTAAGTGTGGGTCAGAAATTGTTTCAGTACCTACTTTAAGATTAAAATTAGAGAATTGTTTTTCCTGCTTATCCCCAATTTCAGAGTTAATTATACTCCACACTGTTTTTTGTATGTTTGAAGAATTATTAATTTTACTGTTGAAAAAATCTGTTTTTGTTTGGATTAGTTTAGTCTTATAATCTTTCTTTTCCTGGTCTAACTGATATTTCAATCTACTATTTTTATTCTTGCGATACTCCTTGGTTAGTTCTATTATAGTAGTTCGTTTGGTTTTTAAGTCCTCTGTAATCCAAACTTGTTTTTTATTATTTTTTGTGATTAACGTTCTTGGAAAAGCTAGATCAAAATAATAAAATAATAATTTGTGAAAGTTATCATATTTATCCTCCACAGCAGCGTTATATACATCAGTCCATGTTTCTTTAGACAAAAAAGAAGAAAAAAGGTCAATGTTTACTGTTGAAAACTTGCGTATTTCTTGTTTTTTAGGACGCCCAATATTTTTTTTTAAATTGTTTGATTTAATTTCTAGTAACTGACCGTCATGATCAGATAAAAAGGTTATTAGACCTTCTACCTTAATTTTAGATGAATCTATATTTTTTATTAAAAAATTATCAATAGCTGTTTTTGTGTTTTCTGTAACCCTTGTAGGAAAATCAACTAGGTATTTCATATTATGGCTTTTTAACATTTCTTTAAATAATTTGTGTTTGTTATCATTTTTAAGTACATTGATGTTAAAATCCCCTGCTACAACCAATTTGTCACATCACATTTCTTATCCAAATACTCAATAAGAATACTTAAACTATCTAAAAATATGCTTACAATTGAATTAGGTGATCTGTAAATTCCTACTATAATATACTTATGTTTATTTATAATAAAGCTACTGGCACAAAACTCAAATTGCATATCTTCTAACAAAACATCACTCAGTGACTCAGGCACAGTCATCCCCCTCAACTCAAACTCCATATTTGATAAAATCATAACACCACCTTTAGATGTGTTTTTTCTTGCAAAATATGATTTCACTGTGTAACAATTATTAATGTTAAGACGGTTGATTTCTTCCTCTTTCATGGCGTGTTCTGTTAATATTATAATATGAGGTTTTATTTCATTGAGTGTTACTTTTAAAGAATTGATTCTGGAAGGTAAATGCATGATATTTTGATGAAAAATTGAAACTGAATATTTGAACTGTGCTACTTTATTGGTGGAGTCACTTGATGTAACAAGTTTAAAGTCTTGTGAGGTGACTGAACCATAGAGCCACTGAGGCTTGAACATACTGGATCACTCATAGCACTATCACTGTTACTCTGCTCTAGCGCCTCCTTATATGAGAGGTCGCCGGGTGCCACAATCACTTTTACACATTGGCTTGCTGTTGTTGAAGTAAGGTGAGATGGTACAGGGGTGACGGATGCAGTAGGTGTCTCGGTGTTGACAGTTGCAGAATCAATGGCAGTCTCCACAAGATCAATGACATCAGCGACAGGTTCAATGGGTATTGCTTCAGCTTCAGTAGAAATTGATGCGTTGGTTTTAGGTATCTCGCTTACTAGTTGTTTCATCCGCAGCATGAAGTCCTTGTAGGTTAAACCGTTCTTTAGCATCTGAAGAGGTTTGTGCGAATAACAAACTATAGTGACCTTAGCTTTAGTACTTTTTTGAAAATGAAGGATGTTATTTATAAAGTGATCTGGACTTACTTTGTCTCGAATACAGCCCATTGGGGAGCATATTAGATGTCTTAGCCCCCTGTTTTTGAAATCTTCGGTAAGGTCTTTGAAAGCAACATCATAGTTAGTTTTGTCCGGTTTTTCAAAATATCTTGATTTAGTTATTAAGCTGTAGATAGAGGCACCATTAGGGATATTTTGTGCAGCAAGGTGATTGGTTAGACAGTGGTGTGTTTGTGGTTTTCCAAAGCACGCTTTGAAAACAATTGCAACCCCTGCTGTCATGTTTCCAGGGTCAGACAAATCAGCAGAAATGCTATGACCGAATCCTACAGTTTTATCATGCTTATAGCATCTAATGACCTCTGCCATATGGGTTTCTCTTATTTGTATCGGCTCAATCAAGTTTTTAAATGTAGCACGTGTTGACTCTTGTGTTCCTTTGCTTGAAGAAAGTCCATCGTAAGCATTTGTAGATAATATTCTTGACAAGGTGTCTCGTACTACAAAACCTAGTTTTTTTTTACCCCTTTGATTTAAATGAAGTCCATGCTTTGTAAAGTGGATGTTTTTAAACCTGTTGCCCTCCAGATCAATGAGATGAACGTTTTTTATTCTCTTTGTTATTGATCCAATAAAGTTGTTCATTTCGTCAATTTCTCTGTGCACTGGATCCATGATGTCAGCATCGAACCTCCTGGGAACAGTTGTGATAAGTAACGTTTTATTTTGACTTAGTTTAAGAAGGCTTCTTTCCAGAGATTTGTAGAGAGATTGAAAGTTATTATTGAGGGAATCATTTGTGCCACCCATGAGAACAATGATGTCATCTGACGAATGCTTTGCACAATCTACTACGTTTAGTAAGCCAGCATTAGGGTAGACAAACCCAACCGCTTTGATCTCTCCACACCCAGCATCTTCAATGAAGCTTTGTACACTTCTACCCTGGCTATCTGAGTAAAGAGACAGTTTAACCTGTTTTTTAAGGATTTTTCTGGGTCTCTCAGCATTTTTATTAGTATTGGCATTGGCACTTTTTTGGGATGGTCTTGTTGGGACAAGTGTAGTTTCAGGCATTTTATTTGACACTTCTAGTTCCTTTAAAACTTCAAATCGGTTTGATGTTATAACTATTTTGTCCTTGTCAGTTTTCTCAGGTGTCCGCTTTGTTTTTCTTTGGGAACGCTGTATGTCCCAGAAAGGTTCTTTCTCTTGATTAATCTGGACATCACTACAGGATTGATGAGTCTCACTCAGCTGCTCGGCCATTTTCGTCATCATCTGAGAAATCGCCTTTGAGTCTAGGTGAAGCGCCAGATTAAAATACAGCATAGCCAGTAGGGCACGTTTTGTGATCAAGGTTTCTACTGTAATGGGTGGAAATGAGGCATGTAGGTTATCTAAAGACTTATTTCCTTGCAAAATGTGCTGTATAATTATGTCTGTGAAAATTAGCAAGTAAATGCCACAGTCAAAAGTATTTATCTGCTGAGGAACAGTCACTGGTGTGATCTTGCATGCATTGTTGATATTCATAAGTTTCTGCCAAGCTAAGCATATCTTTTCCGCATGGGTATAGTTAGCTAAGTGTGAGGAATCAAAGTATAAAAATTCCTCTCTCTCAGTGACATAAAGCAACAGACTCCAATGAGAGCCAGAACCGCCTTGTTTATCAACTGCAGGTGAGTCATTTACAGGTATGAAAATGTGAGATTTATTCTGTAAATCCGCCTTGTCAAGTAAGTGTTCATAATCTTGTAAACACTTGATAGCTTGGGAAATTATTGGGTTCATCAATAAAATTTGTGTTTTGTTGAGCACGGATGAGGTTAATAACTGATAGTAATACTGTATAGAATCATCTGTGAGCCAGTTATTCCCTAAAATTTCTAGTGTAGTTGTGGATCTGTGAGGTAAAACTTTGCTCTGTTGGTGATCACAAGTTGTGCAGTTACTTGTTTTATTTAGTTCATTGACTGTTATTTCAGTATTTTTAATAGGATCTGCTTCATCATCTGACGGTTTTATAGGTTCTTTGAGGTCTTGTGTGTTCAAAGGAGTGCTGGTGACTGGAGATACTTTAAATATACCTTCAGAACTATTTTGCAATGAATTAGGCTCAGTATTTGACAGATTAGAGATACTTTTGTCTTTACAGCTTATATTTAAACTTCGGTCTGCTTCCTTCATTGCTGCATTAAATTTAGGATTTTTTGGCTTGTAAATTCCATAGAGAGATTTGTTTTCATTGAATAAACAAAGATCAACCTCCTTCACAATACCAATTTCATTTGTACCAAAGAAATTGACTGTGTATTTCTTGAGGGTGTTAGCTGAGCTTATGTCAGTAATAATAGCTGGCCAAAATGGATAACCTTTTATTTTTGCGAATACTTTTTCACCAGTATTAAATTTTCTCTTTAATGGGTTCATTATGTCTAACTACAATAAGTAATATTCACTAAAATAAAAATAAAATAATCATCTTCTGTAAAAAAATAAAATTAATAATAAGTCCTTTAAGTAAATAGACAGTCTTTATGCTATATATTCCACCAGGGGGAAAATTAAAGGATAGTAAATCAAATTAAAAATAGGTTTATAAGTAAATAAAATCAAAAGGTTAAAAGTCTCTTGAAGTAATCAGTATCTGAAGTATAGATATATTCAGGTTTCAGATATTCATGTTTGTAGTTATCAGTTGCCAGTACAAAGGTCAGATCACTCACTCGGGTTTTCCTTACCCAGCTTATCTATGGTCCCATCTTATCTATGAGCATTGAAATAATCCTGCAGTTTATCAGAAAAACTATAATTTATATAAATTGGTTACTTGAATGAGAAAACCGATTTTACACTTTCACAGATAAAAACTTACTGAATATTTAGGTATCAATTTCTTCATGTAAAAGTTTAATTTACTACTTAAATCTTATAAAAATTGAAGAGCACAAATGACACAGCTTTTGCAGCTACAGGGTCTTCCCCCTCTCTATAGCAAATATACCCATCATTCTCTGTTATCTGTCACCCTGCTACAGTACTTAGATATTTTTTGGAAATGTCATTTTATTTTACTGTACGAACATTGAACAAGTACAACATTCAAAATAACAGTTCTGTAATACTCTTGTAAGTAAGTTAATTTAAAAATAAATATGTATTATTCACCTGTGCAGGGTTTAATTTCTTCTAAAACCTCCTAAATCAACTTACTGTACAGGTTTATAATAAATAGGATTTCTGTTATCCGTCTATTCGCTTAATTGTCAAGCTCCCGGTCCTGAGGATGACGGTTAATAGAGGTTCTATGCCTATCTCTGTATATAGGTATGAGATAAATTTGGAAAATTGTTAACAATTTATTATCATAAGTCAACTCAACACAAATTACAATATGATAAATGTTATAAATATATTTGCTATAGGGGTTTACCAGCTAGGCCTATACAAGAAATCGCCTATGGCGATCAATTAGATGTTTCAGTTACCATTTTCAAACTGTAAATTAATGAATTATAAATGGATAACTTGACGCTCTTTAATAACTTGCAATATTCATAGAGAGATGTTAATGAAACGAATATTATGTTTGTATGTTTATTTATTTTGTATTCGTATTTTGTTGATCTCACGTTTGTGTGTTCAATGACCAACCTTGGCTGAACTTCACATCACTAGCTGATGATAACATTGTCAAAACAAAACAGCTGATCTACAACTGGTGGGACGTCTATCTTACTTACTTGCTACAAAATCCTAAAATCAAATACCTAGAATATAATTAAAATTGTGTGAAAGGCTTTATTTAATTTTAGAAGACATTTCATCTCAAATATGTTTGTAATATTTCAAGTAGCCTACCTCTTCTGGCATCTCATTGATGAGTGTAATCATGGAGTCATCTATTTGTGACAATCCTGATGAGTCAGACAGAGAACGGTTGTGTAGGTTGGTAACCTTCCCTCCCTTTAACTTGATGAGTTCACGTTCCAACATGTCACAACGCGCCTCCAAGTCATTCTTTTCACACAGAACCTTCTGGTAGTTATTCAGGTCTTTGTCAGCCTCCAGTAGTAGCTGTTGTTTTTCTGTGTCCAATCGATATTTCAGCAACTCTGGAACCAACAAAGTGAGATTATTTTGAATAAAACTAGCAGAAATCTTCAAGTTTAGTTACATTTGAAAGGTAAAATTTCATGTATTTCAATTTTGCCAGTATAATAAAACCCCAATTAACCGCCCATCGTGGCAGGGGACTAACTGAATAGAGGGATAACAGAAATTCCTTTTTAACTTGTTATTATAAAGAAAATAACAATGAATTTGTAAATAAACAACACAGTGCACTCTTAGTTACAAATAGTATAATTTAATTTACAGTGCATAAATATTAACATTTATGTATGAAGTGTAATATTATAAAACTGAGGCACAACAAAAACCATGGTTTTTTTGAGTGACGGAAAACAAAGAGTGACAGTTAAAAACAGACTTTTATTCATGGTTCTATCGTACAAGTCATTGGCAAAGATTTATTTTTAAATATAAGAAAAAAAAACTAAGGAAATAATATTTTTTTGCAACTTACTCAATTATATTTTGTTAGCAAACCTTTTTCTAAAAATATTTAATAAAATAAAAACTGATTACTTTATTGTTTTATTTTGAAAGGCATTGTAGAAAACAAAACTACCCTAAATCCTCCCTACCATTTGAGGTAACAGATATTTGACTTAACACATTGCCTACCAGCCGCCACACTCCTCTGTATGAGGGGTCTTGTTTAACCTGGTAGTGAATATGTTAACTAAATCCATATTAAAGACGGTACCGGTACCTAAAATGCTAATAAATTAATATTTTTTTCTAGGCTTTAATTGTATTTAGGCACACCACTTCATTGGTGCAAATCATTCAAACCACTCATATTTACAGACTTAACATCTGTATTTAATTTGATAGTTCAAAGACAACATACAAGTTAAAGAGGGGGAACCGCAGTCCCTAAAACGAACTACTATGCAATTTTCTCAATATAACTCAAAACAATAAAGTAAATTGAACTAAAACCACATGAGTAAAGCAGTTAACTCTTACCCTCTGCACTAATCTGGTTGCTTTTTATTTTTTCATTTAGCTCATCAACCTGCTCTTTTAGCATGTTAATATCACTGCTGTAGCGAGTTTTTTCAGCATTGTATTCATTGAGAAGTGCCTCCTTTTCGGTTATCAAATCCACCTTTTCACCCTTTTCTCGCTCTAGTTCTGATGTGGCTTCTAGCAACTTCTTCTCTTTCTCGTTCAACTCAGCAGTTCGCTTTTTCAGCTCAACATCAGCACCCCGTAAAGCTTCCAACTTTGCACGAGTTTCCACAAGTTCGTTGTTGACCAGTTTTAACGAGTTGTTTTCTTTTGTCTGCAAAGAATTTCATTCCAGATAAAAGCATACTCTTTGTGTTGCCAGTAATAAAAAATAAAACACATTAAACTAACACCATTTAACTGTAGATTTTATAATTAAAAATATAAACCTTTTAACATAGATCATAAAATAACCTGCTCAAAAACACAGGAAAACAAGGAAATATTTTAAAATGTCAAAAAAGTCTTTCAAACATCATAATTGTTTATCCAATCAACCATTTATGATTTTTTTTTATAAACTAAAATGGCTTAGAACCAAACATAAAAGTCCTAGAATTATTATATCAATACAACAATACGATACTCACAAGCTCGCCTATCTGTTGCTGCAACTGTATAATCTTATTCTCAAGCCCTTTGTTTAGAGTGATATGATGTTGAACAGTTCGAGCCTCCTTCTTTAGCTCCTTAAGTTTTCGCCGAGCTAGGAATCTTCTAACAGCGTTCTGAGCAACAATCAACTTGCGCATTGACTCCTTATACCTCTTACGGCAAATCCATGCCCTAGTGTTCTTTTGAATCACAAGCGCCTGTGAGAACAGAAATAATTCAATTTAAATTTTTAATGTTCACGTCTCTTGGACTTGCAATATGTACATTGTTTTATAGCAATATATTATTATTTATGAAATATTATTATTATATTAGTTCTTTTAATTTCATATTGAATAGATAACAAATATTAAACACTTTTAAAATAAACTGGTTTTATTTCTAAACAATTAAGAACAGTTTAACTTTGCATATGCAGTAAGTTTTATTATAATTCATTTTCGTACTGGTTAGATCCTTTAACAGTATTAATTATGGTACAGTACTTGAAATATTACTTGAATAAATGCAACAAAATGATGTTGAGTAAATTATTAACTTCAAAGATTTTTATTTGTGTAAAATACGGATGTTGTTCTAAAATTGATAAATGAATTGATCTCACTCCACATTTACAATGTAAAATTTAATATTTAATGTTCATCATAGAGACATTAATTATTGAAAACTTATTTCTTATATTAAGATAGTTAGTTTGACTAAAAAAATTAAGACTGATTGACCTAAAATAAGCGTTTCTGAAATTGACTTGGATTCACCGACCAAATGATAACATATTTGGCTTAGAATAAATATATTCCACTGTCGGTAAGCAATAAGGAAATAGAAAGAGTCAAATGAAAAACAGGTACAAACTATGGCCCAAATAATATAACAGTGATTAGCATGGAATAATATTGCATTACTTTAGATAATTTACTGGAAAGGTATTTGATGGTGAAATCTAATTTTAATATACTGCCAGCTACAAAAATCCTGACTTAAAAAGCAGGCAGCACTTAAACTCTAATCAAAAGATGTGTTCTAGTATCTATAAACAGATCATACAACATGTCTAAAAACACTAAAACACTGTACATTGCTATACAGTGAATCTGTAGGAGAGAACAAGGAGACTAGCAATGAGAGAAAATAATCAATCAAGGCTAGGAAAGGCTCTATGGTACAACGGCCAACACCAAGAATGCTGTATACCTAATGTAAAGCAATCAGCCACAATATTATTATACATTATTACAATATTATATATTATTAAAAAAAAACTAGGTTTCACAGTGAGGATACTCACGGCATGATTATACTTGTACTCCAGGAACCTTCGACGAGCCAGGAGGCCACGTACACGAGCCTGCAGTCCCACCGCCAGCCTCTTCATGCGCAAGTATTGTACTCGCTTGACCCAACCTCGCACATACCTTTGGATCTGCTTTGCTGCATGGTTTCTGCGAATCTCTTTTACTCGTCTGAAACAATGTCCACAGATTAACTATATTTTCTTAACTTTTTAATTTTGAAATAATTTAATGCTTGATGGAGGGAAAACAAATTAAAACTAACTAGTACTCTGCAGCATTAGCAAGAAAGACAAGTTATTATTTGACCTAAAAATTGTATGGGAATAGGCTTAAACAATTTTTCCCCTTCATATCCTAGGTACCTAGGCTCTAGCCCAGAAGCGTTTCAAATTATTCCAGGCTAGGCCTAGACTTACATAAAATGACTTGGGGATCAGCAGGATTTGAACCCGAGTCATTGGGGACCAGGTTTAGCCCCATCCTTAGCAACCTCCTAAGTTTTTAATTTAATGTTTTTATTATGATAGGTACTTCCCAATGTTGTCTGAACACTAAACTCCTAACAAATAATCTTAATTCTTCTCACGTTATACTGTGTATTCTTTAAGTCAATATTTACCTGCGTGCGATGAAGCCTCGCGTGACCCTCTGCAAAGTCAACACTGCACGAGACACACGCAGATAACGATTGCGCTGCAGGAAACCTCGCACTGTCTTCTGCATAACGATGCAGCAATGCTTGAGACGTTCCGATCTCAATCTCTCCAAGTAGGCCAGTTGTCCAGCACGAAAGAATATCTTTGTTTTACCAAACTTGAACTTATCACTATCCTGGAATAAAAATAACATTGTGTGAAACATTTATAATGTGAGATTATAATGACAACAGCAACTGGGAGAAGCCTGAAGTTGTCGCATCGATCCTGAGAAAAGTCAGTAGCTTTTGATGGTTCGAAACTAGACCCAGCTGTCCTGGCTTTACATAAATGATCTTCTTTAATGAAACAGCTGATCTTAGTCAGTAACAAAGCTATACATAAATACATAAAGCTATAGGTAATCTCAATCCATTCTACACCCATACTTCGCTCATATTTGGGTTTAAATATGCACCTAGGTCCCTATCTCAATTGATAGTTGATAGTAATTGAATCCAAGAGCTTAGGTTATTTAAAGATATGATTACCGAAATACAATTTTGTTTACCTTAATAAAATTGACTAGAATACACTCGCAGGTTGCCCTCAAATTGTCTCGTTTAATATCTTTCGATCGACATAGAACCCTGTAGCGGTTGAAAAAATCCAAATATGGCCACCTGAAACAGATTATGGAATGTTTAAATAATTTTAGGAATATAGGTTTTTTTTATTATGTTTTTCAAACAGCCCCATTTTTTATATGTGTCATATGTCAACAGTCAACTAACTCTGTAGCTTTTGAAAACACTCAACTAGGTGTGTTGGAAAACTGGGATTTATTAATTCTTTACCTTGATTTATATTTCAAATGGACTTTTGTTACTAGGCTAGTTTAACTGTGCAACATTATATATATGAAAATTCCAGTAACTAATAATTTAATTTAAATAATGAATGTGTTACAAATTCTTAACAGTATACTACGTAAATTTTGCACCCTGAGAGTATTGTTCAAATTATTATTTGTGGTCTATATAATAGTTTTATTTTAGACTAGTAGAAAAATATGCTATCCAAATGCAAAGATTCGTTTCAAACATTCAGCCTCATTTCTTTTATTGGTGACTCCAACTTGTTAGAAATTTAAATGTTGTTTAGCTGAAAAAAAACATATAAAATGTAGGGTACAAAAAATACAACCCTTTTAACATTAGGAAAAATTCCTAAAAATGTTATAAGGAAAATGCTATATTGATGCATTTTTAAATCAGCATATTTCTTTCATTGTTTAATTTACCTTGATGGAAATCCCGCAGCACTGATTCGGATGGTTTCCAAAACTCCACATGCTCTAAGTTGCTGAACAGCCCTTGTTGAGTTGTACTCAAAGGGCTGCTTGTTATCATTAGGTTTGATGCACCTGATGTAATGTGGTGTTGTTGCATTCAACGTTGACATCAAAGCATTCAATGAACTACGGAACTGTGATCCTACCTGAAAACCAAATCATTCAAGATTAGTTTATGTTTCACCTTTACATCCAAGTTACAAGGCGCTAGCTTGGTACCGTTTTCATAATACTTTAGGCTAGACCTTAAGAGTTGCAGCATTACCACATGGATAAAGGCATTGTTGATTGGCGGGATTTGACCTCGGAACCTTCTACTTGTCCAGCTCACTCCACACAAACATTCAAGATTAGAAAGGGTTAGTACTTAACTCTTAATATTAGTAACGACAATATAGTTTGATAGTAATATTTTTTTATTGGATTGATAAGACAGCCACGCACACACACTTTATGTACAGCACATTATTTTTATACTACTGTTTGTTGACCTTTGAAGCATTTTTAAAACATTGAAACATTTATCAAATACATTTACCATACAGTTTTATACTAAATTAGGTCAAACTGAAAGTGGTTTAAGATTAAAACCATCCAGTTTCAATACCGATATTGACTCTGTAGGTGACAAACAATGCCAAAAGTTCCATTGAGTTTTTTCTTTTCGCTTTGAACACTTGTATCAAAGTAACAAAGTAAATTAACTTGTCGAAGTAACTTGTTCAGTTTTGTAACAAAGTAAATAAAATTAAGTTCTTTTATCTATGAATTCTTAATATCTTTGTTTGTTTAATCCTTGTTTACATATTTTACTAAGAGTTACACGTCATAGGGTATATTGGTTATAATATATTATACTCCTTATCCGTTATGGTTTTTATTTATTTTTCTTATGTATTTAGTAAATGGGCCTCAAAGTTTAATTTCCAAAATAGGTGGTCCCCACATTTAAAAAGGTTGCTAACCACTGGTCTACACCAATGAAATAAATTTATAAGTTACCGTTTTCTTATTTTTTGAAGGACCTGCAGATGTGACAGACTTCTGGGAAGTAAGGGTAACTCTTGTTCTTGGAGTAGGTGTGCCAATGCTGGTTGGAGGGGCAAGACGATTTTCATCTCTGAACAAGTGACGGACTAATCTATTGTCCCCACTTCTCAGAGCTTCAACCTGTGATGGAGATCAATAAAACTATACTGGTTATTAGCTCAAGCAAAATACATTTCATAAGCTGAATAAATTAATTCATCCTATATATTTTCTTGTAAGGGCATTCTATACAAATACCATCTTTCTTAACTAAGATGTATATTCTTTTACGTTTGAGAGGTGGAACTGGACCCACAGTAAAGTAAGCTTTGAATCACCAGAGCAAGGTATCACCAAATAGCAAATTGTTATTGTTGATCAGAAAGATTTCGACCTGGATTTTCGGAATCACTGCTGCCGAGCGATAAATATCACAAAAAAATAGTTCTTAATTAGAGTTGCAATAGATCCCATATAACCAATTTTTGGTGAAACATAGTACGGCTTGTTTGAATTGAATCATATTAGGCGGGCCTGCTCGAAAATGAAACGGATATTCTGTCGGTAAACGGTGTTGCTGCCAACAGTCAGGATATATTCAAACTAGAACTAGGTCGACAAGCAAGGCAAAAAAAATCTTTATCTTTATGTAAAAGATAAAAAAAATTGTTTTTTGACTCAGTTTAGTTGCTAACAAAAAGATGCTCTTTAATCATTTGATTCATAATTTTTTACTTAGTCAGTAGTTTTATATACAAGTACAAATAATCACAAATCCTTATGGAAAATGAAATAATTATATATTTTTATATTCAAATTATATAGCAGAATTATAACTGATTCGATTCCTGTTCATATTTTTAGGAATTTGTGAACAAAAAATGAAACCCACATGGTCCTGACAACAGGGAATTTTGGGTTGGGCTCAGTGTTAAATTGACACCCATGGCCGGGAGCCACTGAGCTATGTCCAGCCCTCTCTTAACACTTTTCTACATACTCATCTGTCATCTGTAATCACAGAACATACCTTGTAACAAAAGTGATTTTTTTACCTATTTAGGGTGAGAGCACTGATTCTCCTTCACATTGTTTTCAGCTACTATGACAAAACTAATTGTCACAGAGAAAATTGAGCTGGCTAGAATAGTAGTGGATGCAGTTGTTAATGTTATATTGGCATGTAATTATAGTTTTTGGTTTTTATTTGATAACCTAACACTTTACCTGCTCCTCAATAACTGTATCTCTGTTTTTCTCAAGGAACCCAGTAGCTTCATATTCCACCTTGTCAGCGAAATGTCTTATCACAAAAGCGCTGTTCCCTGTAAAATTAAGCACACAGTATTTTAATCTTTCTTTTGTTCTTACAAAAAATATATCTAGTAAAACAAGGACATTTAAACTAATTAATTTTTTTGAGTGGCTGTGTTTTCTGAAATAAAATTACTACACCAACCCCTGTCTCTATGTACTTTCATGTAGTATGTAATTTTGGAGTTATGGTTTTTTTCAAGTGGCCTACAGAAATAATTAATGCAGAAATTATAAAAATTGCATGTAGCCAATTTAAGTTTTAAACCCTTCTAAACACATTAAATAAATACCACGTAAAAAGGTAAATGAAGATATTACAAAAAATATAAAAATAAAACTTTCTAAAAGTGTGCCATTTAGAAATTTTTGGTCAAGCCAAACTCGACGTTGGTATCGTGATCATCTAACACTGTCATAAAGATACCATCGTCGTTTTCTGCGATAACTGAAAATCCTGAATATCTCACTCAGTAACTGTCTTCCGTGGTCGTCATAAAAATCCTGATATTGATCAGCGGTAACGGAAACATTATAATCGTCTACCATGATCACAGTAAAGTTATCATCATTTTCCTCGATCATAGCTTAATTCAAATAATTTCCCGCAGTCATTGTCTAGAAATATTTTTGGTCATCATTATCGTTTACCCGCGGTAACGGAAACGTCATCGTCCGCATGCGCGATTGCGGCAAAATCACAAACGTATCCAGCGGCTGTTTGAACATCATCCTCGTCACCCGCGGTCATGGAAACATCATCGTCATCACCCGCGGTCACGGAAACGTCTTGTCTCCCACGGTCACGGATACACTATCGTCGTCATGCCCGATCGCGGCAAAATCACTAACAAATCCCACGTCCGTTTGGACATCCTTATTGCCTCCCGCGGTCATGGAAACATCATCGTCGTCTCCCGCGGTCACGGAAACATCATCGTCGTCTCCCGCGGTCACGGAAACGTCATCGTCGTCTCCCGTCGTCATGCGCCATCGCGGTAAATCACTAACAAATCCCACGGCCTTTAGGACATTATAATTGTCTCCTGCAGTCACGGAATTGTCATCTTCATGCGCAATCGCGGCAAATTGAAAATTCTCGGTAAAATACGAAATTTACGCATAATTCCCGGTTTTCCAGGTCGGTATACACCCTTATCTTTACAATGTTCTAGCCAGAATCTATTTATTGAGTGGTATGAATATAGAATCCGGAAGGGGAAAAAATTTATGATGTAGGTCTTTACACTTACCAAATCTAGGTTTTGTGAAGTGAGGCCATTTGGTACATGTTGCACATAGTTTTTCTACCCACGAGTTGTCGGTACCTTTGGGCATCTGAAAACGATTGGTAATTAATTTTCATAGGTAAATCCACAGTAAAATACATTTAAATAAATCTAATCAAATCATGTTTATTGGTAGTTGGCACATAACGTACAGAGTTGACAGGTAAATGCACAGGTGCTTCGTCATCTTCTTAAAACATTAACATTTATAATAGTGCTTTATTAAAACTAAATAAAAGTCTTAAAAGCACACCGTTCCGGGACTTTTCAATCACTCAGTATATCAAGTATGTACTGTAAATAAAGTAATACTATGTGTAATTCATGAGTAAAGTGAGTCTATTCTTTCTAAAATCAGCGTAACTTTCCTAAATTGTAATCATTTAATAAGGAATTTCTGTTAACCATTCAGTTAAGTGTTAACCCATGAGTGACGGTTATGATAAAACAGTTCTACCCACCCTACATTCTTCGTCCAGAAGGTCCAGGATACCAAGTTTTGTCTCAATCAAGTCAATGCATGGTTGATTGTCACAGAAGTCAATAAACTTCCATTCGATGTCTTCCTTCAGGTACTCTTCTTGTTCCAACTTAAATACGTGCTAGACAACCAAACAAGAAATGTTTGAAAATTTAGATTGCGTAACATGAAGTTATATTGCTCAACTTGTAACCTGTGTAACTATTTACATGTTGTTGTTTTTGTGATTACAATATTTTTCTAAATATTTGGTCTTATTTCACCTCTTTATGTGAAAATTGATTTAACTATTTAATTTACCTATTTCTAAACTTAATACTGGCATATTGTTTTGATATTTTGATGAACACTAACTTTCACTAACTTGAACACTAACTTGTGACTTGTAATTCACAAGATTGAGATACATGATTTCCATTATATGGGTAAAAATTTATAAAAAATTACCAGCTCAGATTATAGTTCGGCCGCTTAGAAAATGACCTGCGCGCTAATGCTAAACCAATGCTGGAGGAGGTCGTTTTCTAAGCGGCCGAACTATAGTAAAGTATCTCTACATTCAAATTATCTATTATTTTATTTATTTTTTTTTTTCCACACAAGAGTGATACGGTATCTGGTAAATGTGTAAATTTAAGAATGTACTACTCCTCCTACAAAAGTGTGAACGTATATTATTTTATTTATATTGTATTTTGTGATTAATTATTGTTTTATTAAACTTTATGACGGATCAACTGTCAAGAAAATTGAATCATCATAAATAGATTTATAAATTTTAAAAAAAACCTCCATAATTTAGAATGGATTATGATGTTGAAATTGAAGCCCCTAAGGAATTTGTCTCAGACAACTACAGTTAAAGATGGAACACAGAAAAACTGCTATAATGCTTCACCTAGGGGGATATAACAATAAATTAATATAATGTAAATTAATTTTTATTCGTAATGTTTATGCCTTTCAGGTGGTTTTCACTCCCCTACTTCTAATAGTAAATTTCCACCACTGATAAAAATAATTAATAATTTGATAACTTCAATTGAAGTAAGCTTTAACATTTAGTTGTGGAGGTAGATCCTAGATATACTTACAAACTGATCATTGAACTGGACATTTAAGATACCTGATTAAATTGTTGTTGTAGCTTCTCGTTGGCATAGTTGATGCAAAACTGCTCAAAGCTATTGATTTCAAATGTTTCAAACCCGTAGATATCAAGAACTCCGATAAACTTGTGTCTGGCTCCCGATGATGTTTCAAGGCTGCGGTTTATTACTTCCACAATCCAAGAAAACAACTCGGCATAAATATATTTGGCTAAGGCATCGCGTGCTCCTGAGGCCTAGAACAAAACAACATTCTGAAAATATGGTAAGATGTTGCAAGTGTGACATTTACTAAAGTATTCATTTTTAGGTCGCAGATAGATACAATCATACACCCTATCACTACACATTTACTATTGGCTTTCTGTTTAAACTTCATTCACAATATTTAGGTGGTTTTAGGGGAAGAAATCCCCCCTACACTTCCCCCCTACACCCTACACACATCCCCTAGAACACATCCCTACACTCTATCCTTGCCTTTAAAATAATAGCACTACAGCTGATTAAGCAACATACAATAAGTACAAAAAAGTGGTGGGGGAACATCTCCTCAAACTGCCGAAATATTGTGAACCGAGTATAGCGCAAAAATACAACTCAACAAGACTATGCAACTATGTTGGTAATCAATAGTGTTAGAACCCACAGAGTGTTTACCAAGTCGGATGAACTTCATAGAGTACACATCCACCAATTAAATAAACGGTATCAGCAAACACATATTTCTCCCATTATCTTGTCCACAACTCCTTGGAATGAGCCAGCGATGGGAGTAACTATGGTATGTTATGAGTAAAGTCACAAAAGTTGCCATAGCTTTTGAACTGTAATTTTTACAGCATTGGGGATTTTACCATATTGTTTATAGTTAAAAGTACCACAACATACTAAATTTTGATCAAAATCATTCGAGCCATTTTTGTGAAAATCTAAATTTTTAATTACTTTATCACAGAAATAACGTCAAAAATCACTTTTATGGGGTTTAGGTGGGCCCAAAATGAATATTTCCACCCAAAACTCAAATTTTTTGACAAAAAACAATAACTTTTCCATATAGTATGTGGGAGGAGAGAAAGTTAAATCAATTAACTCAATAAAAGCCATTCAAAACCTTTTAAATTCAATAAATAACTAAGTCTACTGTTTGTCAGAAAACTATCATTTATACAGTTAGTAAAATAAAATAATTAATGTCACAGATATAAAATCAAGTAGACCATACACACAAAGCATGAACTTGTGTAAAGACCCATACAAATAGCATATATTTACCTATGTACAAATAGCAGGATTGATTTAAAATATACTTTACCTCAAACAGAGTCATGGGCTTTTCAAAGCTTTCATTTCTGCTGACAATCCTTCGCTGACAAAGCCACTTTCGGAACTGGTCCACGTTCACTCCGAGCAGTTCCGCAAAAGCTCTTAAATGTACATCTGAGGCCTAAATACATTTAGAAACATAACAACAATTGTTAGGAAACTTTGGGATTAGTACCGAGTTTAAAGCTAAGTTATACAACGGTTAATTCTTTATAAAATAGATGCTCTAGTGTTGTGGTTGTGATTTTCATGTTCATAAAATTTCAGGATATCAAAGTAGTACTTTCCAGCATCCAGGCACTTTTTTGTAGTTTGCCCATCCACCTCCTTCATTCTTATAATCCATTTACAATCATTGAAGCATTGAAACATTATTATTGCTCTTGTGAGAAAATAAAATAGACCTTGTGACTAAAGGAAAGAGTAACCAGAGGTAGTAATACTAGATTGCATCGTTTGTGTAGAAACAAAGAAAACAGTATATTTATAATCAACTACAAAGAAATGGGAGTGCTAGGCAATTTTGTGTTGCTATCTAAAATTAATTACAAGAAGAAACAGCTAAATGATTTGCTCATCTTAAACGATATATTTCTTGACTTGATTCCAAATTGAGGTACAGTATTACAATTGGAACTTTTGATGCAGGCTACTATAATTGTAGTACCTGAGCAATAGCACTTCACCTGGTCTACTATAAATGTAGCTGCGCTCCCCTAACATTGCCTAGGCATGAGCCCAGCATTCACCACGGAGCTTTGTTACTGTCTGTAGTGCCAGTTTTGTAGGTCATTTTGGTGCAATTTGTTTACAGATCGGCCATTTTTGTATGTTACGTGTCAGTGCTTTTGAACAGAGTAGTGTTTGGTTTTGGCTTAGATTTAGTGACATGGGATAGGATAATGATAATGACTGTTATCTTAATAGTTATAAACATTGAGAACTGCTATTTTTTTTTTTTTTTTAACTAATTAATATTCTAGTTATTCTAAGAAAATATGTATTCTGTCACTTTTATTATTACAATAATCATGCATTTTTAGTGGCCCTTTTTTATTGCAATAACTAAAGAACAAAGGATCTGGAGTCTTTAGGTGTGCGACTACTGATAACCAAAACATTACAAGAAGTTAGAAAACCCAACTGTACAACTGTACAAATGTCAGAGTATACGAATACAATTCCAGATCTCAAAAGGCCTTGAAAACTTATCTTTTACTAGTGATCGTAAAGTTGGTAAATAATCTTTCAAAAACAGAAACCTGACATCACCAATAATTATTTTCAAACAAAAAATGTAGTGTCATTTGACGTACTTTTTGCACTTTCAAGTATTTTAAAGTATCAAATATACACTTAGCTTACCGATATAGAGCTGTCATCCATGTCGCTTGCTCCACAAATTTGGATGTTTCCAAGATGGAGAATGGATGCCAAAACTTTAAAGATATCAGATATCTTACGCTCAGAGAAGCCGAGTGTGTCCAAGGCTGAGATGGTTTCCTGGAAACACTGACTGTCGTCCACACCTGGAATCTCAGCCTCCTTGTTGAGATATCTGTATGCCTTTGCCTCACCTGGAGGAAATCAAATACAATGGGGATTTTTAAATCATACAAATAATTCACACTTTTTTAATGGATATTTTAATATTAAGAAAATCCATACCGTAGCTAGGAACGCGGTTGACGACAGCGAATATTTGAACGCCTTTAATCTAAGGGATGCAATAGTTTATTCTAATGGATCAAACGAACTCATATTACAGTGTGGGATCAAACTACCTGGTCGAATGATCCAAAGTGAACACTCTATAAAAAAAACTTAAACGTAGAACATTTTACGTTTTTATTAGATCTAAAGTAGAACATGGCGACAACTAGAGTTCTGTTGTTCATTCTGTTAGTTGTCACTGTTGTCGTGTTGTAGTTTGTCAACTGAACACAGATTGTCATTCCGTCATTGCTACTCGTTGTGAAATGCAAATGCAAGCTTTTTTGGATTATAAAACTATTACAAATATGGCATAATGAACTTGGAATTATTTATATTAGCTTACTTCAGAGTATTCCGAATAAACTATGATGTGCCACTCTTTACAAACTTCAATGACAGTTGAATTTAGCATCATAATTAACCTAACTTTTAAGAATCAGTATCGAGTACAATGAAGCGAAGTATCAAGTATTGGCGATTCTTCGATACCACTGGTATTGAAGGTATCGAGGTATCGAGAATCTGAATTGGCCCATCCCTACTATTCGCAAACACCTAGTTAGGAGCAAAAAAGAGAGTTCTCCAATTTAGAAAAAGTTCAGTCTTCACCTCAATTGTTGTTTTGTGTTTTCTAAATATGTGAGCCTACAGCATTAGGTGGGATACGAATCACCAGTTTGTAAATACTGTATAACGCACGGATCACAAGTCACTGAATTATCTATCACATGGCTATAAATCATTGGTGATCAGTAAGATTTGAACCAACTCACCTAGGTGAAGGTCAGGGTACTGCTCTCTACCAGCACACAGCTGATATAATATGTGATAGTTGCGTTCCTCTGGTGCTTGAAAGACAACACGAGACTTCTCCAGTAGGTACGTTCGCATGCTGGCTCCGATGATGTTGTATGTGCGACTAAACTGCAGTTCTATGAACTTTCCAAACCTTGAACTATTATCATTACGAGTTGTCTTCGCATTACCTATTGCCTGTAATCAGAATATATACAGTAAATGATAAAGGTTTAGCCCTTTTGACTCTCATTTTAGGGCTCCGCCCCCATGCCCTAAGTTTAATTTATTATGCAGACCATTAAGCCTACCAGTATTTTAACTTAAAATTATAGTCTACTAATAATAAAAATAATAAAATAAAATTTCCCAATACAATTTTTTTATAACTTTTTTTTTGGGGGGGGGGGAGCCGTAATATGATGCGGTTGCGAAATGGCCGATAGAGGATAAAGGGTTAAGTAATATTAATATATTACATAATGCTTCTTTCATTTATCTAGTTGATGTAGTAAGTCTTTGGTAACAGGTCTTTGTGTTATGGGGCAGATTTACGATTTTTATTTAGATAAATTATAGCTAGAGTTTAAAAATACGGTATTTTAGGATATTTCTAGGTGTTTTAAACAATTGTGCTACAAATTTGTACTCTGAACGCTTTAGGAAGATAAAAACGTAACAATAAAATACATATCCCAATTGAATATAGTCTGTATGAAGGGGCCTGTTTCCTGAACCTTCGTCTACCTGGGACTGGCCTGGGCCTTAAAGCACTGGCCAGTTATCAGCCACTGTAGATAGAGGGTCAAGAAACATGTCCCATTATTCATAGAATGCATTTTAGAGCAATAATATATATTACTTTTAGCAAATGAGCTTACAACCAAGGTAAATTATAAACAATAAAACTGGGTCTCGAAACTGACTTCGTTATCTTTGAAATGAGGAAAATAGATCTGTGGGAACCAGGTAAATCCCCTTTTCAACTTTGCTTATTGCTTATCCGCATGCCAGTTGATCTAGATGGAAATATTCTCAAGATCGTCTGGTAAAAGGTACAAGGATGTGCTTAAACTAATAAGACAATGATTTTAGTTCTGCGTCAAGACTTGCAATGGGCAATAAACATATTTCTACTCCATAAAAAAATATCACAAAAATTATAAAAGGGATATAATAAATAATTGCGTAGACTTAGACTTTTGTGCCCAATGTCGGAATCGATCGATTTTAGTGTCAACCATATTGTCAATTGATGTTTACTAGCAGACATTATGCCCCACAATGAATCGGCATGATCAGTAGCTAGACTGAGACTAAGCTCATAGACTATTCTGTCTCATAGAAATGTCTATCAGTGAACTTCATCTGACAGCTCGGACAACACAGAAAAAATCCATGGATATAATGAAGTATATCGTATTGCATGTACAGTGACTTAGGAAGGTTTATTTGACAGCTTAACTACAATTTAAATAAAAGGTCCTAATTCATGTTACAGATAGTGTCACGGTGCGTGGGGCCTCGCTGAAGCATGCGCACTGAGAGCTTTCCCCCACTACGCCTCGATGTACGGTACAGTCACGTTCAAATACTGAAGTTGTGAACTAGTATCAGCTGTCATATTAGTTTGCTTTATGTTTACGTTTTTGTATTTTTCTGTCTCTCTCGCACTGCCTCCCCTACACGCCAAGCACGGTGAAACGGTCTGTAACTATGAAACTATATTCTACAATGTACAATATAAAGATCTCACCTCCATGATTGGACTTGAGGCCAGAACCTTCTTCTCCACATGAGTCTCAGTGGTAGATCCGCCGACTGTTGCGAAGTACCGCATGGCGTACTTAGCTGAAACTGTCTTCCCCGCCCCAGACTCTCCCGACACAATGATACTCTGATCACGCTGTTCCCTGGAAACATAAAAAAAACAGTCAAATTAGAGGAAATTGTCATTCCAAGTAAATACATTTTGTAAGAATTTACGGCTGCAGACACTCTGAGAAGGGCCCAGGTCTCATATACTCATCTGATAAATATTAGTACCAGGGGACTAAGCATTGCTCGTGGTGTTTAATTTGAAGGCGTTAAAAAATAAAGATAGTGCCAAATTCCATGATATTATAAAATACAGTCTATAATAACATTTGATCATGCTAACATACTGGTGCTATGTGCACAATGTTTTACAGAAAGTATATAAGAGAAACGTCTTATAACACTTAAAACATATATTTACGCTTATACTGTTACTCACAAGACGGTAAATATATAAAAAAGATGGTAAGTGGTTAATCTACAGCATCAGGAATATTTTTACAATATTTTAAATATTTTTACAGCATCAGGAAAAATAAATGTTAAAGAATTTAAGAAAGAATCATGATGTAAAACTGTATGTTAGATATGTAGACGACATTCTTGTTATCTTCAGACAAGCCCAGGAGCAAGAGCACGAAACGATGATGCAGACACTAAACAGCCACCACCCGAACCTCACCTTTACCAACGAGTAAAACTTGTGATAATATCATATCAGATGTTGACCAACATTGTTGCGAGTTACGAATATTATGCACTCTCTGGTTTTGACATGATAGTCATTGGATCGCAGAACGTTGCAACAATGGGATCATACACGGATATTAGAACAGAAACGGTATGGATCAAAATCATAAAAGAATTACGTCACTGGATTCAACTAACCTAATACTAATAATACCATTTTAACATATGTTTTGGAGGTTTTTTGATTGTTGTATTGAAATAACAATACAAACATGTTTATTTTTGGGTCATTTGTTTGTTTATCATCCATATCGTTTTTATAATCCGTGGGATTGTCAAACAACGCACCCAATCCGGTGGTGTATCATCAAAAGCTATAGAACGTCCTTTATTACTTGGGGTTTTTTCAATACTGTTAGTTCAGCATTTGTGTATAATCTTTTGCAGTAAAATGTTCTACGATTTTGAACAGTCGTAATTATCCCATTACTTAATAAAACACCCCGAATGTATGAAATAACCAATGCTAAATGGTATTATGGGAATGTCCTTGGGAAAGTAAACTGTATTTAGTATTTTGCCACTGCACTGTAGATTATTTGTCATAGCACATGTTGCAATTCATTTATTTACATTTTCGTAAAGCTGTCTTGTTTACCTAGCTATCCATAATACCAATGTTAAAAATATTGAAATTTCATTTAAAGTTTTTAACGAAAAATTAATTTTCCCAGAACAGTGGATAGCTTGGATATTGTTTTTAGCCTGAAACTAAGATATTCCTAACAATTTAAAGGAAATCATAGGATCTGGTTTTGAAATCATTGTGCGCAAACGTTACTCGTATTATAGTAGAGATAAATAGGTTGGCACCTCTTTTAACCTTGTATTTGCCCTCAGGCCCTTGTGTGGCTGTATCGAGCAAAGCAAAGAGTGAGTATACCAAGCTGCTATTGATATGTAAGTGGTGTCACAGGGGTAAAAACTCACATTACCTTCCATTTTAGATCTTTTACAATATCAACACTTTGGTTTTAAAGATGTTGGTTCCAACCCAAATTTTAGAATTTTTTACCTTTCTGCGTATGAGATTTCAAAATTTTTATTACTAGGTACAAAGTTGATGCATTTTACTAATCATATTACATATCACAAAACATACTAATAAAAGTAAAACTGCTGTTAAAAATAAAAACGTCAAAAAGCTTATAAAAAATTCCAATATTAATAATTTAAATTTAGATTTAATTGAACAGTTACAGCTACTGCAAATATTGCTCAGTGACCCGGGCAAGGTTTTTTACCATAACATTAAGCTGTAGTACTGTATTGCCCCAATATAACTTTTTATCTCAGGACCTTTGAACAAATAGTTTTTTTCTGAATAACAAAACTTTAACTATATGACCAACCTCAAAACACAAATTAGTTACAAATATGTACTAGTCTTTGACAGAAAAGAACGCAAGCGGCGCATAACACTTGCACCAATGATAGTTTATACATACCTCTCCATTTTCGTGTAGGCTTCTTCAGCCACCGCAAAGATGTGTGGGTCGAGATCACCCATGGCCTGTCCTCGGTAGGCATGAATCGTGTCTGGCCCGTAGATCGGCAGATCTGTGTACGGGTTGATGGCGACCAACACGATACCTGAGGTACAACGAACTTGCATTACAAACAGAACTGAAAGTTTATTAAAGTATACACAACTTACGGGAGATAAAGAAAATTAGAAAAAAATAATTTAATGCAAGACATAAGAGTGACAAAAGTTGAACCTTTGACTTTTGATAGAACTACAGATTACATCCCCACAGTTGGATTGTGCCACAGATAGAGTACAATTCTACCGTCAAATACTCCAACTTGCTAACCATATCAGACTTACTGTAAGCTATAGCATCTTTGATGTCACACAACAAAACTAACAGAGAAAAAAGTATTTAATTTTACACAATAATACTGTAACACACAAAAATAGTTTGCAGCAGGTCCATTATGTCTACTAAAAAATCTATTAGCCAATGGTTGAACCAAACAAGTTAAGCTATTGAAGATAGCGTAGACTGCAAACAAGGCACAATACATAGTGTAACAACTGCCAACACTAGTGCATGTACATGAACCTAGGGGAGCGAGCTGGTGTAGTGGTTAGAGCACGGGACTTTGGTCTATGGGGTCCTGGGTTCAAATCCCGCCAAATCACCAATGGATTTTATCTAAGTGATAATGCCGCAACCCCTAGGTCTAGCCTGAAGTAATGTGAAAAACAATCCCAGGCTCGTGCCTAGCGTCTTAGGATAAAAAAGTGCATGTACAAAATTCACATTATTCACATCATTATCAGGAATAAATTAAATACTTTATGAAATTACCAAATAATTATTCGTGATTGTTTTGAATGTAGTAACAATATGTGTGTTGTTATAATTTGTAAGGCTTGTATAATATAAAATACATTTTTTTATCCTCTAAAGAAATTATCACATTATAGATGGTAAATCATATCTATACATAATTGTTTAAATGAACAGAAGAAGCATACACATTAGAGTGTGCTTTCTTAATTGGTCATGAACACTTTTCTGCACCATGAACCATATCCACTTAATGAAAGAGATTCACTTACAGAGATAGCACATTACATGTGTTGTGCCTAACAGGTATGAAACTGCTTATTAGGTGTTTGTATAGAGTTCATTATAAGGGGGCTTCCAGTGGAAATTTCAACAGTTATCTTGTCCCAGGGATCACGAAAAGGACCTACCATTTTACTCTAATAAAAGAAAAAGTCATTGATAACTCGAGAAAAAATTATCCGATTTTGATTAACTTTGGTGCAAACGTGTAAACCAACGTTTATTCAAACTAGTTCGGGAACCAGCATGATTGGACCATGGGAACGAGATTTTATGGGGGTTTTATGGGGTAAAATAGGGTTTTCTTATTTTTTACCCTAAAAACATCAAATTTCTCAATTTCTCTCTAAGAGCTTGAAAAACAAATAATTTAGTAGTCTATATTGAAGTGATTTTGTAAGGCTATTGGTTACGGAGAAAATTAAAAAAAACTGTTAATTTAAATTTCCATGTTATTTTTATGGACAATAAGTAAACTATTGTAGTTTACATCTTTCATATATTTTAATCAAACTTTGGTAAATTTATTTATTTTATTTTAATTTAAGCTATAATATTTTATTAAAAAACACACCTTATTGTCCGGGGCCTTGTATCAGCAAACATAGGTAATTGTTAAACCTAATGTTATTAAAACAGATTTATATGGAAATCCAATCAGGCAAATGGAAGTTCGCTTAGTCTGTAGGTTTGCTGCAGCAGGAGTATTTTAAATGAACTTACCACAATAGGTGTAGATGGCATTTTGGTTGCAGAATCGAACTTGCAGGTTGTAAAGGACTGCAGGCTCGTGCAGATATGATAAGGATGTGAGATCATTTTCCCCAATTAGTATATCAGGATTTCTTAGATGAGGTAAATTTTCTTCGGATCCAACATCTAGCGTTTTGATCTAAAATATGAATGACTCAATGAATGTTGATGGATGGGCTTCCCCGGTAACATATTGTTGATTCATGGTCTCTGTGCGACGACGGTGTTTAAATCAACGAACTACTTGATTTGTCAACTTTGCGGAAGTCAAGTCATCCTGAAGATGACACTCCACATCGAGGCCAAAACGTCAGTGAATACTGAATGAAAGTGTTTAGTCGATTTTGACATGGTAGCCTAAATTTCAGTAAATCAACCAGTAATCAAACACAAATTACTATATTGCTGTTATTTAGAGTTAGAATTCATAGGTTGGTTTAGTATCTTGATAAAATTGAATAACAAATTTGGATCAGTTTTGGTTTTGCTCTAAGCCGACATTGGGTGGTGCCCGGGGCCAGTGCAAACATTCAAAACGAGGCCCCTTTAAACCAAAAAGTATTCAAACAATACTAACAATAATCTCAATGTATAGTATTTATACTCTACTCTTTTTATTTTTTCATAACTTACGTAACGGACATTTTACAAATTTTTCTTTTTTGCACCAAACACGGGGACCCCAAAGGAGCGGGGCCATGCTAGGCCACACTTTTCGCACATCCCTAAGGCCGGCACTGGTTATGCTTTTTGTATATCTTGCAGTAAAATTGTGAAAGTTTGTCTGCTGTATATAAATTGTTCTTCAAATTTTAAGATAAACAACATATGGAAAAGGAATTGATAAAAGAAAAAAATACAGGTATAAGCTCTCCATTTCACCAGTGTTAGGGTAGTTTTTGTGTTGTGTTTTCTACTTACTTTTCCATCTTCTGTCTTAACTTTCAGGATCTTTGAGACATAATCTTCTACAACTTCCGCTCCTTCCCATACTAACTCTGGATGAGGTATCCATACTCGAGCCCCCTGTAATACACATTATAGTATATAAATGCTTAAATTCCCTTAAAAGAACAATAATCAATACTTGAAAGACATTATTTGGAGGATGTAAAATAAAGTGGTTATTTGGTGTAGGGTTAATGATATTAATCAAATATAAAGCTCTAGAATGGACAGTAGCATTAATGTGTAACTACTATGGGGAGTGAGCTGGTATAGAGCTGGTGGTAGAGATAGAACGTCGGACTTCGGTCCCTGTGTTCCTGGGTTGAAATCCTGCCAAATCAGGAAAAAATATGTTACAGTTGTTTTTTATTTATTTCTAGTTCATACAACTCTAATTTTTCAATAAATTTTATTTACAGTATTTCTATATTTTTCAATTCTCACCTTTCACAAATTTTAGGTATTATGAGTCCACAAAACAATCTGTGCACATACACATTTCTACCAATTTAACATGTTTATTGTAGAAAATTGTCAATTTAAATCAATAAAATAGTTTTTCAAGAAGTATTCAAGTAAACTCAATAGTCAAACTGAACTTATTTACTTATTATACGGGTGTTTTTATCAAAACACAACCCAAATATTTCAAGTACTGTGAGGCACTGTTAAACGACAAATCAAAGTTTTTATTTTGGTATCCCTGTTTTCTTTACTTCTTTACCAATCAGCTGATATGCGTTGCATTATGAGGTTTAGTGTTTATTGGGAATTTATTATTATGCAACACTGCATATCATAGGATTGGCAATGTAGTACTGTAAAAAAAACAGGGATACTAACAATCCCTGCACAGCTTGTTGTCATTAAAATGTATTTGAAGTACTTTTTACTTAGTTAGATAAAAAAAACACCCTGTATAACAATCACATTTAAATGGGATAAAAAAAAAATGTTTCTGGAATGAGCTTAAACTCAACCATGCCTATTTTGTAAAAAACATTATATGTTCTAGACATTTTATGTAACCACTGGTAGGACCATTATTCCAGAAATTGGCATTGAAGTATAAAGAAATATTGAACAATGGTCGTAGCTCAGCCATAAGATACAAACCTTATATAATTAAACTCCATTATAACTAAGGAGCAAAGTTAAATCAAAATTGGAAAATTATATAACAAGAGGTGCAACGGTAAATCTGAACTATGATGGTGCGTGGTTACATGAATAGAGAGGTTACATAATGTGATGATGAACTTGTAAAGGAAGTAATTCCTCATTATGACTCATGGCTTAGTAACAGGAGTATCAAACCTCACTGTTTTATAACTTTGATTTATCTTAGCCGAACACAGTAAATATCTTGTATGTTAATGTTCTAAGTCGTTATTGTGTAGCATTACTGTCAGGAACTTCAGATTAAACACACACACTGTTGTAATTTCTATTTGTAGAATTTTTTTAAGAGAAAAATATTGAGGCTAGAACTTTTTTTGTACGTCACACCTTCCTATCCTAGGCCTAGTGTTCCTAGGACACAAGGCTCTAGCTCAGAACCGTTGATTTACATATTACTTTAGACTAGGCCTTGATGACTGCGGCATTATAACATAGCTAAAGCCATTGGAGATTGGCGGAATTTGAACCCACAACTTCATAGAACAATGCCTCAAGCACCACTAGACCAGCTTCCTCCACAACCATGGCTAGAACTAGAATTTGTAGTCATGGTACAAAATATTTCTATAAGACTTTAATCGACCAGAAAATTGAATACTTAGTCCATGTAAATAATAATCATGGATAACAGTAATGTAAATTGCATGTTTTAATGAACATTCCACTACTTTGTACCAAATTATTCATCTTCAAATTTCAATATTTGATTGTTAGGTAACTCACAAGTAACAATAATAGAACTAAGTTTGACGTCTGACTCATCAACAGTCAACAGTCACATTACTGTAACTCTAGTGATATAAAAACTCTATGACTGTTTAGACCAACATTGCAATCTATTGTTCTGAATACATACTGACTGTAGTTTCTGATTTAGCGTTGCACTGCATTGATTTGTTTCATTCCCATACTGTGTAATTGAAATAAGTATGGTGATTTTTTTTAATGCCAACAAGTTTGATTATCATGAAACCTCACTAAATGTCTACAATATGTTATTAAATTAATCAAAATAAAACAAAAAAATCTACTCTAGCGTTCCACAGTCAAGTTGTTATATAAATATATAAAAATGTTGAAAAATGTACAACATATTTTCCATACATTTGGTTCAGTTAAAATCAATTAAAAAAATATTTTAACATTTAAATAGAATCTAGACAAATCTTATCATCAAACAATTGTTTGCCATTCATTTGAAAAGATTGTGACTAAGAATTCATTTACATTCACTAGATCAAACACACATCCTAGTCAGAATCAGCTTTTTAAATTAATAACTTACTCAATTTGAAAAGAACAAACATTTAAATATATTACAAACACAAACATTTTAAAATCCTTTTGAAACGAATACGACTATGTTTGCTGCTTATAGTTGTGCAATCTTGTACAATAAGGTAAACAAATTATTACAGTCAGTCAATTATTTTGTAGAATACAAACATTAAAGTTAATTCCTAATATTAACTGTATTGTGACAGATTGTTGAAAAACAAAGCTATCGGTCCCATCTTTTTATTCTGCCTCTTTTATCTCCTATTGTCTAAACCCCTTTTAAATCATTACCTCAAGAGGTTCACTAAGATTATTATTGAAAATTAACAATTTAATGAGGAATAAAATAATTACCGTTTTCCAAATAGATGGAAATGTATCTTTATTTTTTTAATTGATTATTAAAACACAAACTTTCAATGTTTCTACATTTAGTTGTTAAACATTTATAGAAAAATGGAAACAGGAAAACAGATGTTTATATACAAACAACTCATGTGAGTGACTTCATTCAAAAGCTGGAGCACAAAATGGTCAAGTGTGGTCTGCCTTGGTACTACCAGTTAGGCAAAGTGCCAGGAGAATAATTATGTAAGTTTACTGGAGGATTTTATCGTTACATAACAAGTTACATAAAGAAAATATGTGATTCAGCTGGTTTAGGTAAAAATATGGGTCAATCAAATACGGACATTACACAATACTTGAATAACAAATTTAGAATCAAAACTGCAGTGTTGACATATTCTCTTCAACACTAGGCCACATATATTTTGAAAAAATACTGTTTTTATGTTACCGCCATAACATAGAATATTCAAAGAAAACTATGACTTAAAACTAGGCTTAAAATGTAAGGTTTTCAGGCAGAAACCAATATGCTTCCTAATTATTTGTAGGGTATAAATGTTATATTCAATTAAACCCAAATGAAAACCAGCGTTAATATGTTGTGAAAAATAATACTTCATTTCTTTTTTAGTTTACATAGAATACAAATAGAACTAGGTAACAATTTAACAAATACAAATTTAATCATTTAAAATTTGGACAAACAATATTTGTCCTTTCCTCTGATTGAATTGGGCTGTTTTGCAACCTCAATATTTAAATAAACAAAATTTTGACTTCTAAAGACTCTAAACAAAGAGTACATAGGTCTCAAACCTAGGTCACAACATGAAAACTTGAAGGCTCTGACAACAGCTATTTCCCTACAGGGCAATTACTAGATGAATAGGAAAAGGATAATAATGCCTGTGTCAACATACAAACATCAAGGGTAACCTAATTACTGGTACAAGAAATACAAGTTACAATGTAACAAATGGATAAAAACCTATTGATTCTTTTCTTTCAAACTAAGGAAATATTGGTGATAGATACAAGTAAATGTTGTAACTGAAGTTTTCATTGACTTGTGGATTTTAAGCTTATAGGCCTATGAAGAAAAAAAGAAATTCACAGACAAAACCATCTAAGCTTATCGCTTGTATAACATGTTAATTTGATTTTAAAATGCTGATATTTAATAGCAACTTAATGGTCAAGTACTTACAGTTTTGTACAAATATTTAAAATCAACTGCTTGATGCCACAACAGAAACCTCTTGTAATAATCATCCACAATTATTTTTTTATTAAAGTCTGACATCACTTAGACAAAGCATACACAAACACACTGAGAAGTTCATCATTCCATCCACAGCAAGCCAATAGATGTTGAGGGCAACAGGTCACCATCGAATCTTTTATCACATTGTTTATTTTTTAATCACTACTACTTAGACAGCGCCAAGTTGATTTTTACATTGGTTGAGATTGACTAGAGAAGAAAAGTTTTGTTTAAATCTCTATATGCCATCTAAGTATGAAAATGTTCAATACTTTAGAAATTTGGTGGCAAATATAGTGAAAATTATGATTTAGGTAATAGTAAAAATTGTGTTTTAGACTACATTTGTTGTGTATTAAATGAATTTGAGTCAGTTATGACAAGCAGAAGTATGCTAACAATTAAGATGTAGGTAGTTAGCCACAGTTAAAAATTGTGTTATGACTTAGATAAGTTTGTTTTAAGTGATTAGAGTCTTTGAAAACTACATTATAGGCATATGTTTATTATTAGCCTTTAGTTCATTTTTAGTCTTCAGAAGTTTTTTCTTTAATTTATTTTATTTTTAATGATATTGAAATTTGGTAGGTTTTTATATTATAACATGCATGGTGAATTATGTTCAGGGTTAAAAAATTAAGTTAAGCTATTGGGTGTTAGAATATTAATCTCACAACAAAATATTTCCTCTCAATACTGAGTGAGCCAACGCTTTTCATATTGGCTGAAGAGTCATCTAACTATATTTTGTTTCTGAAGCAATTATTTCAAATAATAATATAATTCTGAAGTATTCATAAAAGTGGTAAACTTCTCTAGTTTTCCATGATAAATATTATTGTACAAAAAGGAGGGCACTACTGTGCAAAGACAAGAATTAAATTTGATATAGAGAGTACGACTCAACAGCCCACAAAAGATCAGGTTGAGAGGAGAAGCACTAGCGAGACGGGGGTCGCATTACAGTGGGAATGCACCCGCACCCGCCGCGAAAACACCCAGATATGGGTCACTGAATCTGCTGACACTAACACTAACCACTGCAATTAAATAAATATTTGAAATTTTTAAAAAGAAACAGTTTTTATCGTTTCTATGAAATATAGGAGAGAATGGTTATGAAAATGTTGCATTAAAAAATTAACTATTAAATTAAATTATGAAAAATAAAATGATAAATTATGTTTAAAATTTTAATTGCATGAAAATTAAAATTTGCTTAAATTTTATTTAAGCTATGTTAATTGAAATGGATAAAACTGTGTTGAAAGATTTTGAATTAATTTATGATGGGGAAATTGTAATTGTTAATAGTAATAGCCTAAGTAAAAATTATTCAACTTTTAGTTGTTAATTATTATTATTTTTTTTTTTTTTTTTGCTTGTTCAGAAATAAAATAAAATTCAGCAAAAAACTGTTTTAATCTTGGAGCTAGCTTAAATTATTTTACTAGTGTGATTTGGATTAAATTGTTTTGTTTATTCACTATTGCAAGGCTGTTTTTGATTGTAAGAAGAGTGACAGTCAAAATAGGATGATCGATTGTTAAAGACTGTCGAGTTCTCTCTAAACTTTCTATCTTTATGGCTCTTTGCAGCTGATATTGTATATAGATTCTATGACAATGATTGGTTAAAAAATACATCACAAAAATGCATGTACAGAATAAATAATATTTAAAAAAATCAAACGGATATTCTTTTTTGTTACAAATAAAGATAAACTATTTTTACTATTAAATTTAAATGTAATTATTAACAATATTAATATAAGTTTGTTCTGCTAATTAAAATGTAAATATTTTAGTTTTTAAGTAATTAATTTTGGAGATGTCCAACACAGAAAATAATATTAAAAAATACAAACATATATTTTTTATTTATTTTTTTTTACTAAGAATTATTTTTACTAAAAATGTACCTAAGTGTAAATATGCACAGAGTAAATTTTTATTTCTACTACTTAAAACGTAGATATTTTAATTTTGATTTTTTGTTATTGTTTTTAGGTAAAGTCAAACAGCATAACTTGTCAGTGGGGTGGGGCATCATTAATTCAATTTTCCTTAATCTAACTATTGAATAGGTATTTTTATCGAGTACAAATTTAGTACAGTAAAATGCAGATTAATTTTTATTATGAGCTAGTAGTCTTTAAAGATTGACGGTAATCAAATAAATTCACTTTCTTACAACAAACATTGTCTAAGGCTAATCGAAATGCTAACTAGGATTCAATAATGTACAACGAAGCACTAGCGAATGAAGTGTCACCAGTCATCAAATGTGCATTTACAGAGACTGACAGATGTAATCTGCATTGCCACATGAACAAGTTTGATCAATTAAGGTACCTAAATAACGCCTAAATATGTGACCAATTAATCGTATTTAAAAAGTCTTATATTCTTGGGGGGTTTAACATCGCAACTGACATATTAATAAATGAATAAAGAAAAACAAACTTCATAAGCTTCACATAAAAATCTTAAGACAATATTAGTTTAAAATTGTAATTTGATTAGAATTATGTGTAGCCTACTATAGTTGTTTTATGTATACAAACGTGTTTGGATTTCAAAATTTACATCAGGTTAATTATTTATTTGATACACTAAAAATATATTAATTAACGCTTTTAATACAGTTTAATGCAGCTTTTTTTTACTTTGGATAAAATTCACAGACTACATGTAAAAGAACTGATTATGAAACAGGTGACACATATAAACACACTGGCACGGACACACTGGACAAACATGTGCAACGAACTAAGGCTAGAACTGTACTGGACTAAACACATGGAGATTATATAACAGAACAGGTGCCTCCAAGGTCATTTCATGTTTACATTACTGTTCAATCCAGAACTGGGATAAAACTGGTGACGAGACAAGCTAACATTTAGTTATGTGTGGGTAGCAGTGTTCGACATCTTTTCGTATGTGGTACATCTTATATAAGTAATTTATTTAAATTTATACTTTCATTATAATGGTTGCTAACTTATATCTTACACTGAGTATAGATGAGACTATTAGGCAAAACGATTGAGTGATATTTAGGCTAAATAGATCGACTTTCTTGTAATTATTAAAAGTAATAATTAAACTCATTTCTTTTTGATTAGAGATAAGGCAATTTTTAGGTAGCCTAATTTTTTAAATGACAAAAATAAATTTAATTTTACTGAAAATTTAGATTTAAAGTTTCTTTTTGGTTGGGATGCAGTTTCAATCAAAATTGTAAGATATGGTGAAACTCCTCTTGAATATTGTCATGGAACTAGTCCAGATGGGACCAAAATTATGTAAGGTACAATAAATTTGCGCTTATTTTAATGGTTGGATGTTCATGAATACCAACAATTTTTTTCTATTTACTAACCATTTATCTGTATTTATTTTATTTATTTATTTATTTATTATAATCATCACGTTACATCAATGATTTACAGGTGATTTATCATAAAACTAAAATCTATTGTAACAACAACAACCAAAATATTGAATACCGTACTTAAAAATAATTATACATATTTTGTAAGGAAATCTTCCAGTGAATAAAATGAAGCCATATCTTAAGAACGTAATCCATAAGCCATATCTTAAGTATTCTTTTTTTATTTTATTTTCTTTTTTTTTCTATAGGTACCGGTATGCAATCAATTTCTTTCATTGTTGAAGGCACCTTACGGTATTATAAATTTTGGGCCCCGTATATTGTGGGGATAAATGTAATAATTTTAGTCTATGTTGCATTGGTTTTATAAAATTTTTGTATCTTGTATCTGTAGACTATCATCATATTTTTATATGGACAGGGTGTATATTTTTTGTTATACTACAACGTTATACTACAAGTCTTGCACGGGTAAAGAAATAATTTTACTCCGCTGGGCAAAAAAGAATCAGCTGGAGTCAAGGACATCAGCTGTACATTTAAAGACTTTGTAATTCGTTCAATGATTTTGCTATAGAAAATAGTACAGATTGATAAAATATATCATTTCATTGAAGTTAAAACGCTTTTGTGTTTAGCATCATGTCACATTGTGGTATGTTTCAACTTGTGTTGATGTTATTTACGTAAACCCCCTTGCTTATTTTCCAAACCTCGGTAATTAAACTAGAACTTGTTTAAAATAAACACTTTGGGCCCTAGAGATGAATAATGTATACTTTTAAGCTTAAAATTGTTGGAAATTTTACTTTTTATTACTATAAAAAATTAGATTGTTTATATCGCAATAGTAAATATTAAAGATAGCACGTTACTTGGCACTTTTCCATCATCTTGTTCCACTAATTTTATTACACCTTACACAAAGTTCTTAGGCTAGTTCTTTTAAAACAAGTTTTAGTAGACACACACTCAGAAAAGATAAATCAGAGTTACTAAATGTATGATATAAGGCAAAATTAACAAATGATTCACTCATCCTGTCAACTTCCACCCGAGCCATCTACGGTTTATTTGAAGTGAGCCTCTCCCACATGTCTTGCCATCGACAAGTAAACTACCCATGAGACAACTAGACATTCCATCCCCATGTTAAATTTGTAGCCAGTTTTTTAGCCAAAATCATCGTAGTTGATGTGAGCCATCAACAGATTGTGCTGATCTAAATTACCGATTTCTGTTGAATACACAATCTTTTTTACCAATTCAAACTAATGGAATGATTTATTGTGAGCTATAGCAGCTGTTATGACCCATCAACTTGGCTAGCAACACAAAATAAGGTAGAAAATAGAGTTTTAGTCACTAACACATTCTGTGACTGTTACACAACTACACAAAAAAATTTCTTCTTTAAAAAAAAATTGGCTACAGCTGGTCCATGGGATGGGACGTCTACTTCAGTATCCAATAGCCAATGGTTGTGGGCTACACCAGACATGAGTGAGATAGGATTCCTAACCTCATTCTAGGGGGCAGTCTCCTAACCAACTCTTGAGATTGCTTGGGTGTTTGGTCGTAGGCCTAAATCAAATCTAACTTACCTTTCTAATGCACTAGATACATAAGATTCTAAAACATGACTTCCAGGCTGCTGCAATTGTCAGATGTAGCGTTTTGCCGAATTTGTTGAATTATACTGGCCTAAAATAGGCCTAGTTGTAAGTAGTAGTTTGATGATGTTACTCTTAAAAGGCAAAATATTAGCCTGAAGGGCTCAAGGAAATGAATTGTGCTTGGAGCCGGAATGCACAACTGGGGGATGACACCTTCATTAACATTATTCTAACAGTCTGGTCCATTAAATTTGAATATGTGTGGGTTTGTGGAAACAAACTCAAACTTGTATTTGTAACAAGCAAATCTGGATGGAGGGATCATTATGCAAGTTGGATAAAGTCTGGTGCAAGTAGGCTTAAATCCAGTTAGGCCTACATATAATCGTGATCACACATACATAAATTTAAGCTGAGAAATATATCTAAACAGTCTATTAGTTTTAAGTAACATCACAGGGCACTTTTAATCCTTGGCTTTAATATTGGACTAGGCTAGACTAACAATGTCAAGCTAGGCCTAGACCAACTTCAAGTTAGTATTAATATTAAATAGCTAATATGAATGGACGTGGTATTTATCTCTTACCTTGGTGTAAAGTTCTTTCGTTGACATTTCTATAAAACTGCGAAAACATGAATAACTTGGCTATTCACATGAGAAAACAGGAATTTATAATCTTGGGTACAGCTTGTTTTGACAATCCTTCGTAGGTAAGGAGGCATGTTGTTCAATTTCAAAATGAAACAAACATTTCACATACTGACAAAATGGTCCTCAGATTCAGTTTTAGTGCAAATCACTTAAATTATCATCAAAAATTATATTGGCAACAGAACTTTAAGGTAAAGTGCCTATTTATCAAATAATTTTCAGCTGACGCCTGGCGTCTGTTGTTCGTCGACGCTTTTTGGTATGAAAGAAAATAGTTTTGACGTTTGCAAATTTTAAAACAGCTGTTTTAAAGCCAGCTGAAATCGTTGGCTGTTCCAAAGACCATTAAAGGCTTTCCGTAGATAGAAGTTTGAATAGTTGATTAATATACTAGTATACATAAATTACAAAGTCTAGCGAAACGTTATTTTATTGACCTATTTCATGTCAGAGCCATTTAAATAAAATGATTTAACAAAATGATTCTAATGGCTGACAAACAAATAAGAATAACAAACAACTTCCAAAAAATTTACAAAATAATTCAAAAATTATTATTGGTGATTGAACAACATACAACAAAATATAAAATCTAATCCAATTCAGGGATTACTAATCAGATCACTGCTCGCCCCAACGGACAGCTCCTTACTTAGATACTTGGATTACGGTACTTCATTTTTTCGTATGTTTCTTGTTCAATTCCCGAATAAATCTCATCAAACTTTGCGATTGCGCAAAGCATCTTATTGTTCATGCAACAGCACTTGGGATCATCTATGAGTAGTTTTATCCTCAAAGTAAAGGGGTATTCACCTATTTTCCCTATTGATTGATCGGACCATTATGGTCCCCTCCTTTCCCTTAGTATACACGCGTCAACCATTGATGCTCAGTGGTTGGCATGGATTAAAAATGTATGTAATCCAAGACAAGACGCAAGTTTTAAACAAAAATAAGGTGTCAACTTCACATGTAAATGTTGATGTTTTTGACGTGAAGCTCCGACGATGTTGCGATGCAACGAAACATGTCAACCCACGGGGTGGGTTGACGTGGTGGCACGTTGTCGCCTATGTGCGAGGTGGTGGGTTGACGGCAGCGAACATGGGGCGTACACGACAACCCACCACCTTCGTTGGCAAAAGCGGCCGTTGTCCGTGCATTTGCATTATAAAATGCATCACTTTTGCAGTTGGCAGTACGATTTTATATCTAGTTTACAAAGTACTGGTGGATGTAAAAACACTAGTTTATTAGTAAGACACTAATTTCGAAGTGGGTTTCCTATAAAGATCTGACATAAAGTTAATTATACGCATCCACGCAAGACAATTGTTTCTTTTAAATAATATAACGATTACAGTATTGTTAACCAAATTGTAAGATAAACTTACTATAAATTAACGATTGAGGGCCATGCTATAATGAAAATAACAATACAGTACTTGTTATTTTTCTCATGCTTTTAAACCGTTAAACATTAACTTGTTTATTGTGACATTCTGTGCATTTTAAATCAACTTCGGGAACCTATGCCTAAATCTAAATTATCTATGTATTTTTAGATATAGGAATAGCAGTGCAGTCCAGTGTTTTTATAAATTATTGATAATGCAATCTATACATTTAATTACATGATTCTTTGCGTCAAATTATAGGCGTCAGGGACTGGGAAGTCGTGCGACGGGAGGTAGAATTAAGGTTTATATTCCGTGACAGCGGGAAAAATGTGGAATTTCCAAAATGTCAACAACAATGTAGACGTAACTTAAAATGTTCTATATAAAATAGCAACGGAAACCATACACTGATGATTTTTGTTTACTTCAATACAGAGTATCGTTCAAGCCAGTACTGAATATTAACAGTTGGATTACTTATTTGCCAGTTAACTCTGCTATGTACTGTCACAGACAATAGAGACCATTTAATTAATTTAACTGAATCAAAAATTTAAACCGTTTAGTTTAATTAATTATTTCCTCGGTCTATGGCACTGTATACTACATTAAAATCAGGGATAAAGTTATCTATAATTGAGACTTTTCATTATATCTTAGAATGTTGAAATCAATTACTTTACTGTGCAATTAGCTACATT